GAATTGGGAAATGGTGACTCCTGCTTCGACCTCCTCAGGTTGGGATAATTACATTGGGAGTAATGATCTAGTTGCTCCTCTAAGAGTCTGTAAGCATCCCAGCCTCGGCAAAGTACATAAGATTCTTATACATCATATTTACCAGACTGTTACCTCATGAATGAATGGTTTTGTGTGTGTGTTAATTCAGCAGGATAGGGGAAGCACTGGGGTCTGTGTAGGTGGGAATCTTTTCATGGGGAAGGAATTTTTTTGCCTCTCTCCTCCCACACCTGGATTCTCAGTGTTTCGCATACAGTTGATTGCATTTGACACACAGCATTGGAATGTCCCTGGGATTAGGGCTGTGACAAGTATAATGCAGGAATGGGGATGAGTAGGAGGATACAGTTAAGCAACTAATTAGAATACAAGGTAGAATGAAGCAAGCGTCATTTACTTTCGCAGGTGAAGTGCTGTGGAAGCCAGGAGAAAGGAGAGACTGATCTACTCCTAGCCAGGGATCAGAACTGAGGACTTGAGTACAGTGACCCAAGCCTTGAGGGAGGGCCTTCTAGGAAGCAAGGATGATTACAGTGAGTGGCAAATAGATGCTTAACAGGCGTGTTCTAAAAACCTCAAACCTCAAACACCTGAAAACACTCTAAAAAACTCAAACACTTACAGGGGAGGTCCTTGATTCAGTTAAGTGGCAAGTTTTTCTCAGGTGTCCCCAGATGGCCCTTTCTCTCTCACTAGACATGCTGTGTCTGGAGTTCAGAGCACATGTGTGTTGCTTCTTGTTCTTGCTTGAATTTGCTGAGTTTAGTGAGTGCACTTAACACCCGGTCACTGTCATCACATTTTTCTCCTATCCTCACCAGATTGCCTTGGTTACTTTCTCAGGTTAGAAGGACGACGTCAATGTGAAAAACGACCATTAGATGTCAGCCTTGCTTTGTGCAAATTTTTTCTTATCGCAGACGAGGCATTTTGAGGAAAAGCTGCTAGTTGTGACCTCTTCCTGTGTAAACTCCCATGATGGGTGGGGGAGTTTGTTTTCTGAACCCCACCCCTGGGCTTGGCCCAGAGAAACCTTGAGGTGCTTCCAGCTCTCTTTCTTTTCTGGTGACCAGGTCCCAAAAGAGAACCTTGAATGTCCCTAGCCCAGCAACATGCATCATGAGAGGGACCAAAAATGAATCCCAGTTTAGAGGAGATCGGGTCTCTAGGCTGTGGGCTGGCACCTCCAGATACCTGGGTCTGTCTTGTAGGACTGGAGGGCTGGCCCCTGGTAACTTTAAAGGTAGTGTGGGTTTGCACGTTTGTACGTGTGTGTGAATGTGTGCGCGTGTGTGTTCATGTAGGGTGGGGGAGGAGGGGGAAGAGCTCAGACCTGACATTCGTGGTTGATTATCTACCAGCAATGGTACTGAATTATTTTTGTACATGACTTCATTTAATCCTAACAAAGCCCTTTGTTAGGACGCTTTTTCAGATTAAGAAACCAAAGCTCAGAGGAATTGAATAAACTTCCCAAGTTAATTCAAGAGGGGCAGGGTAGGGGACTTCCCTGGTGGTGCAGTCATTAAGACTCCGTGCTCCCAATGCAGGGAACTAGATCCCACCTGCATGCCGCAACTAAGAGTTCACATGCCACAACTAAGGAGCCTGCCTGCCGCAACTAAGACCCAGTACCACCAGATAAATAAATAAATATTAAAAAAAAAAAAAAAAGAGGGGCAGGGCAGGGTTCCAACCTAGCTGTGTCAACCTCAAAGCAGAGTTCCAGGTGTCCCGAGGTGGGCGTTCAGGGGCAGGCTGGGGCAGGGCTGTGGGGTGGGAGGGCTGCCTACACACGGGGCCCCTCTTCAGAGAGTATTTAAGGGGGGCACATATTTTGGGTTCAAACACTAAGTGTGGTAACTCGGCCGTTTCGCCTTCCTCTCTCTCCTCGCCTGGACACGGCACTATTGTTCCCACCAAACACATCTGAGCAGATGAGCTCTCTGACTTATTCCAGGATTGGGAGCCGACCCCCTCCCCAGTCCCCCTGCTCTGGTCTCTCCTCCCTACTCAGATGCTGGCCCTCCTGCCAAGGGCTGTTCATGTGAGGACCAGACTCTGCCCAGCTCCCTTCGGAGAAAGGTGGACCCGGAGTGGGGCGCTGGCTCCCTGCGGGCTGTGCAAGGCACAGGGCGGTTGGGATTTTGTCTTTGGGGCCGACATTCTTTCCTGGGAGACTCCATGTTTGTTTCCTTTCCACCTGAAACCTGAGTCCCTTCTGTCGCCTTTCTTCATTCCTGTGGTGTTGGTCACCATGGAACCTCTTTAGCCATTGCTTTAGTGGAAGGAGTAGACAACGTCAGTTACCTCGGGCCACTCCTCTCCCTGAGTGCGGACACCGAGGCCGAGGGTGGAGGAGCCAGCCATCTTGGGCGATCCAGAACTTCAGGGGTGAGGACGGAACCCTGGTCCCCAGAACCCCCTGGCTGTTAGCCCTTTAGGTCAGGGGCTGGCTCTTCCAACAGGGGACACACTCCTTGGTGCCCAGGACAGTGCCAGGTCAAATGGGGGTTCAGTGAATTGTGCCTCAGGGGTCAGCACTAAGTACTGTCCATGCCAAACCCGAAAGCTTTGTCCACATTTGGAATGGAATTTCTGATCCTGGTTTTTACAGTTTGGACATAGATCTTTAAGTTCCCACCAGGTCCTGAGGAGGTGGCACCCACTGCTCTCACATAAGACATGCTTGTCCGTCCACAGCTGTGGACACCTCCCCGTGGGCAGGCACTGAGGAGGCCCTGCATGTAGACCCTGCGGGCCCGAGGGCTCAAAGGTGTGGATGCAAGCGGTGGGCAGGCCTAAAAGGGGCTCTGCCGACTGGGTTGCCTGGGCAAGCTACGGAGTGGGCCCAGGTGTCCCTCAGGGAACGGGGGAACCTGGGCCGTCTTCGTCCGCCAGGGAGTTTGTGGGGAGTTGGGTGGAGGGCCGGCTCGCTCAGAAGGTGCCGCTGGACCTCACGTATCTGTACTCTGAGGCAGCTCCAGATCTCCTCTTTAGCCTCCTAGACGTGATGCTCTGGGCAGACTGAGTAGCAACATCCACTTTGGCAGCCTAAGGTCAGAAACAGGGCTGGTCTCTTAGTATAAAGGGAATCTGAACTATAGCCCAGTGGTTCTCAATCCTGATTGAACATCAGAGTCACTCAGAAGTTAAGAAAAACACAAAACAAAAAACCCCAAACAGATCCCTGTGGCTGCTCCCTAGAAAACTCTACCTCACTTGGGGCCTGGGGCGAGGCCTGGGAATCTGTCATTTTCATCAGTTCCAGGAGACTCTGATCTGCAGCTGAGGTGGAGAACAAGGGCTGTAGCTAAATGTCGCTTTTCCACATGGAATTCGCACAGAAAGTCTGCGCTCTGGTTGGGAATGGGTAGCAGGTGTCTGTGTGGCCTGCAACCCTCACTGCCCCCAAAGCCTGGACTCCAGCACGCTTGCTTTAATTCAGCCGTGGAAGGTCTGTCCCCCCAGGAATGTTCCTTCTGGGCTTTGCCCAAAGCAGCCACCTTGCCAGTGTCTTGAGTCTCTCACTCAGTGGGGCGAGGAGTGGGGTGTTGGGAGCTGTGGAGCAGAATCTCCCTCCACGTTGCTCGAGAGAAGTACCGTGTCCCTCGGCTATTCCTGGCAGCTTGTCACTACCACGTGGCCAAAGCCCTATCCCAGCTGTCAGCAGACGGGGCGTTGCCTTCTCCCCTGATTGTGAGGAAAATTCTCCTCAGACAGAGAACCCGAGTGGCTTGAGGCTGTAATCAGCGGGACCAGGCAAAGGCTGGGCTGGGGCCATGCTGGCTGGGCCAGGCTGGAGCCACTGTTTGGCCAGGAGGGTGGCTAGGAGCCGCTCGGCCTTCTGGGGCCTGGGTGGGGACGCGGCGGGCTGGCTTCCAGACGGAAGGCAGGTTTTCTCAGCCCCTGAGTTGGGATTTGTTGCTCAGCAAAAGGAAGTTGGCATTGCCTCCTGCCCTGTCCCCAGATGATATCTCGAGGGACCTACTCTCGAGTAGAAATTGGGAGATTTGGGAGATGTGGCCTTTGCCCTTGATTCTGTCACTGATCAGCTCTGGCCGTTCACCTCCCTGCCTGTCAGGGTGAAAATGGGTCACTGTTATCTCAGCAGAGAATTTGGAAAATTGTGTGAAGTCACAGCATCTGCGGGGAGACCCTTATCACATGGAAAAAGAATGAACTCAGATCAAGGGCGGGAGCAGATGACTGACCCCAGAGGGTTAAGGGAGGCTGGGAAGGGCTTGGCGTGCTCAAGCGGTCGGCACAGGACACTGAAATGGCTGAGAGGGGCTGAGGTTGGCTTGGTCAGCAAAGTGAGAACAAGGGCCAGGAGCCTGGTACAGATGGAGACTGGCGCGCCTGAGAGAAAACTGGAGAGCTGGCCTCCGGGGAGGCCCTACCGCGTACCTGCGTGGTAAGAGGGGTCACAAAGCTTGACAGTCAGCGTGAGCTTCCGGGGCAGCTGGCAGAGTGATGAGGAAAGTAGCAACTGATGGGGAAGCAAAGTGTCAGACTCCCCCTTGATAAACTCCACCTTCCCCAAGACCCTGAGTTGTCCAAGAGCAAAGGCGGGTTCATGGGCTTCACGGACACTCTTCACAATGAACTCGGTCTACAGTCATGCAGCCCGGGGACTTGGTAATTTTGAAGCGTCCAAGAGAGTCCAAATGTTATAAAAGAAGCGTCCTTTGGTTTAGTGGCAGATTTCTTCACTGTAAGAATGCTTTAACTCCTGGTGGGCTTCCCGCGAAGTGGTATAAAAAGCGTTTGTGGTTTGTACTGACTCCTTTCTGCCTCTCCCCATCATAGGTCCCTGGATGCTACAGGTTGGGGCCCTCTGGATACCTGAGGATCGTACTCACGGCCCAGAAAGTAGCTGCTCCCTGCAGACCACCTCCCAGGTGCCTTCTCCACCCAGGGCACGGGCACCCATGACGCTGTCCCCCCAGGTAAGGGGCACCTAGGGAAGTCATGAGGGGGTGGGGATCTTCCTCGGGTACTCCCAGGGGCTCCGCCTGGGGGATGTAGCTGGGCTGCCGGGCTTTTCCATCCGGGCCAGGCTGTCTGTGGGCCCTCCCTGCTCAGCCGTCCGTCGGGGGCCTCCCTGGCCTGACTATGGCCTCCTCAGCGTGAGCTTTGCCTCCACTCTCGAGCTGGTGGGCTGGCCGAGGGGCTGAGCGTGGTCTTCTGTGGTGGGAAGATGGAGATGGGCAGAGGATACAGGAGTGGGGCCTCCAGGAGCACCGACTGGCCCCGTTTCCTCAGCTGACAGGGCAGGAGAGTGGGAACGGTGTGGCCAGCTGTGTGGCGGGAGACTGGGTCCCAGGCCTGGCGCTGCCACTGGGAGCCAGCTGTGTGGGCCTCAGTCTCCTCTGCAGAGTGAGGGGATCAGAGGTCCTGCCCTGGAGAGAATGGGTGCTTGTGAGGGGGAGGGCCACTTCTCCCTGGAGGGCTTGGAGCAGGGGTCTGGAGACCCCTTGGGAGGAGTGTGGAGAATCGGGAATGCCTGAGCAGTTCAGGAAACAGGCCGCGGTGCTCAGGGAGGGCACCTGGGGAGCCCGTGAAGGAGGCTGAGAAGGTATAATTGGGGGAGGGGTTTGGAGCCAAGCTGGGGGTAGAAGTCAGGCCGAGAGGGCGGGGAAGACTGGGCTCTGGTGGGGATCATGGTGCCCTGGCTGGCTGGAATTGGGATGGCAAGCCCCCACCTGAGGGCCAGGCTCTGCTTTGGGGGACAGGCTGCAGAGAGCCCGGGGCAGTCTGTCCTCAGTCCTGGCCTCAGTGGACTCTAAGATGCCGCTCTCCCTATGTTTCTGTCCCCTGGCAAGGTTCTGGCTCCGCTGGCCGTGTACTGTGGGAGCATCTCTTGGACCAGTGCTGGACACTCCCGGGGGGAAGCAGTGACTCCAGCCCAAAGACTTTTGGAAAAGGTGAGACTGGCGGACTGGGCCTAGTGACTTGGTCACATCAAACGACCTTCAAGTGCCCAGGGCAGCCTCTCTGGGGCCTTTGGGCAGAGATGGGGTTTCCACCTGACAGCTGCCCAGTCAGGGCCAGTGACCACGGAGCAGAGCTTGGGCCTCGTCCTGGAGGGAGGAGATGGGTGTGTTTAGATGCCCAGCTGTGTCCTCAAGCTACTGGCAGGTATTATTTTTACTTTGGTCCCTACTGAAAATGCCTCTTGGTTTTAGGTGGGTCCTTTCAATCCTGTGCCTCAGGGGATGGAGTTGTACGGAGGGGACCCGCAGGAACAGGGAAGTGGGGCTCTTCTAGGAACCCCGGGAAGGCAGGGCTGTGGTCCCTGGCTTCAGGACCTGGGCTCCTCTAGCACCGCAGCTCTGGTCTCTGCTTCCCTCAGCCTCCCTCCGGCCAGTGCTGAGCGTCCTGCTAGAGAAGCCGTCGCAGCTCTTGAGTGGATGTGGGGAGCCTGGCAGCCTCAAGCTGGGTGCTTCCCTGAAGGGCTGGCAGGCCAGGAATGGCCATCCCAGGAAGCCCGGGGCCCTGTCACTGGGCCCCCAGCCCCTGGTGCCACTTCCTTCGCTGGAGTCGGAGGCCAACCGTGTGGCCCGGGACACCACTCAGATTAAGGACAAGCTCAAGACAAGGAGGTTCTTGGAGGGCTTGGCAGCATCTCCCCGAGGTGAGCCCTGGGCCTGTCCACCTGCCACCTGGGCTGTGAGGACCAGCAGGTGTCCAGCTGGCAACTGGGCTAGTCAGGGGGCGCCCGCCAAGCACCCTCTCTCTACACCCTCCACCTCCTCCCCGGAACGCCGTCTCCCACCAGGGCCTCTGCGGTAGCTCCCGACCTGCCTCCCCATTCTCACCCTCGCTGCAGAGGAATTCTAGTCTTCTAGCCTTCGCTGCAGAGGAATTCTTTTTGAACACGAATCTGACTATATTCTTCTTTCACTCCCACGGGCTATGCTTAACGCCACCCAGTGGTTTTCAGATGGCCGCAAGGACTAGAACCTGTTGTCCTCACTCCTAATTCAGTACTGATTTTGTTTCCCTTTCTACCCAACCTGCCTCTGAATTTTAAATAGGTAACTTTGATTGACACTTTCTACCAAATTTTACAGGCGTGGGAAAGGACACTCAGCAGAGTCTAGTGGTGCGGGTGGAGCTGGGGGCGGATCTGCACCCTCATCTCTCCTTCTCAGCTGCCCCAGGACATAAAGCCCTGTTGCCAGCATCTCAATTAACCCCATTCCCCGCACTCCTGGGACTAACCTACTCCTCGTCCCCACCCCCTACAGCCTCTCTGGATCCTGGGGGAGCCCCCAAAGGAGTTCCCCTGAGGACCGCCATTCCCCGGGCTGCCTCTCAGAGGCTGCTGAGGGTGCCCAGGCCGATGACTCCCATCCAGAGCCTCCCCACCACCCCGGAGGCCAGCGGAACCAAGGACAAAGGCCTGGACCCACCCAGGAGCCATCAGGGACCCCAGGAGCTGAGACCCGGTGCCCAGGAGGTAAGACGGTTGGACTGCTCTGAGTCTTGCTTCCCTGCCCTTCTGTTTTTCTTTCTATCCTTTACCAACCCCTGTTCCCAAGCCCTGAGCTTCTCTGGAGGTGTCTTCTCTGGCTTGGGAGTTGCCCCAGAGGTACTGAGCCCAGTCCTCCTGAGCAGAGGCTGTGTGACCACCTGTCTTACACTTGGTGGTTCCCAAGCCATCTCTGATATAAATGTTCCAGAATTCCTCATGCTTCTGGCCCTCCCCATTTTTGGTAAGGAACTGTGGCAGAGGGGAAAGAATGCTGGGCTGGGACTCTGGGGATCTGGGTTCTGGTTTTCACTCTGCCCCTCACTGGTTGTGTGACCTTGGGCAAGTCACTCCCCTCCCTGGGCCCCAGTATGCACTAAAAAGAGGGAATTGGACCAGATGTTTTTGAGGATCCCTTTCGGCCCTGACGTTCTAGGATTTTCTGAAATGAGAACAAAAAAACAAATAATAATAATAACAAAAGGGGTTGGAGTAGGAATGAGGGGATTCCCTTCTTGCCTAAAATGGTAAGGAAACAATGAACCTGGGGGTCTGAGGGTTGTGTGGCTGGAAAGAGAAACAGAGGATACTTGCCAGCACTTCTGCCCAGGTGGCTGCTGATAGAAGGGACTGCCTGCGAGGTGAGCATCCAGATGGAACGTTTCATGGACCAGACCCCTCCTCCAGCTCCGCTCCCAGGCACAGGTGTCCCAGCAGTACCTGCACTGCAGTGACGAGAAGATGCACAAGTCCCTGGCGGGCATTGTGATCCCGCCCATCCCAAAGGACAAGGTGCCCGCCGGGACCTCCTCCTGCACGCCTGGCTCCCTTCCCAGCCTCTTGCCTCCAGGCCAGGACATCCTCATGGGCCTGAGGCCTGCCACCACACGGTAAGCTGCGCTAAGTCAAAAGTACCTTGCAGCCCTCTCTCCTCTACCCCCCAAGATCCTCTTGGGCTCCCTATGGCTAAGCCTCCACACCAGGGCAGAACTCTAGGGGCCGGGCGTGTGAGGGGCAAGGTCCTGCACTGTGAGCCTCAGACCTGGGGTCATCACAGCTCTCACCCTTGACTCCAGCGGGAGGGGTGTATGGGCTTAATTAACAGTGTCTCAGCCTCTGTCTTCTACCAGTGTCCTGAGTGTGTGGTTGCTGCAGTGATGAATAAAATACAAATTATTTTAAAGCTCTGTTGAATTCATGGTAGCTGTTTGTGACGACGTATTGATATTTTCTTAATTAATGGACACTAAAAATACAAGTATTATCGTGTCTGTGTATATGGGGGGGGGAGTCCACAAAACTTTTGAACTTAAAAGGGGTCTTCATACCCCCAAAAGGCTGGGAATCAGTGGGTAGAGGATCTCTGTGTTGTAATGAATCTGGACTTACGGCTGGTAAGTGGGACAGAGGGTGCTCTCACATGGCCAAAGACATCCCTGTGGTCAGGCCAGACTGCTGGAGTGACTGTGTGTGTATGTGAGAGAGAGAGAGAGAGAGGGCGAGAACGTGCGCTTTATCTGGGGTCGGCTGTACCTATTTCTCTCAAGCTTCGTCTCTCCCTCTGTCTCCCACGCTGTCTTCCCTTCTGACTGTAGGCGTGTCCACATCTTTCCCACCCCTGGTGCAGTGTGGGAACCCACTGTGGACCTGCTCCTGGGTTTGAGTTCTCTGCCTGATTTCGCAGTTGACCTCCCTCCTCCCCATTGGCACTGCCTCCTCCTTTCCTGCTCAGACACCCTCCTCTCCCTCCCCTCTGAGAGTTCTTGGTGGCTCTCGTGACTCTCTGGCCCCAGGTAAGTGACCCTCCCATCCCATCCCACTGCTCTTGACTTTTTTGCACCATCTGAGCTGTTGATGCCCTTGGACTCTTCCTCACCTTCCTGACTTTAAACCTGCTTCTCGACCTTCCAGGCAGCCTCCTGTGCACCTTCTTTCATCATTTCTTAAATTTGTTCCAGAGCCCTTTGCCCCCCACCTCCTTGTTCTCCCCTGGGATCTTATCTGTGCAGTGGCTTCCAAGATCATGGGGGATGGGTGACTTCCGTGTCCCCTGCTCTCACCCTGAGGTCTCTCCAGAGTCAAGCTCTGTGCTTCCATCCTCCTGCTGAGCACCCTCAGGGTCCTCATGGCTGAGGCAGATCCAGCATCAGAGGCAGCGAGGGAGGATGTGCCACCGTCACGGCATCACGGACAGAGCACCTCATGTTTCCCCAAACTGCCTCCCTCCTACAAGGTGCAGGTGTTCCCTTTGATCTTCCAATTGCAGCATCATCTTTGACTTTTGCTCCTATCGCCTCCTGTTCCCAGCAGATTGCCGCATCCCATTAGGTCTTTCTTGAACAGTAAGAGAAAATACAAAAGCTACCATCCCCGTCTTGCCCCTGCCTTTCCTCTCAGTTTGCACTTACTGGCTCCCTTTTGACCTGCCCCCATAGCTCCCACCCGGTCTCCTTGCAGCCCTGGGCTCTCCATCCTAATCTCGTGTTTTCATCCACCCCCTGAATACACCTCTTCCATGCATCTCACATTTATGGACTTCCTGGTGCCAGCAGCGTAAAGATGAGTCTCCCTGGCCAGACATTCAGCGTGTCCCAGCGCACCACTCCACACTTCCTCCTGTGCTGCTCTACAGGCTCCGACCCACCCTTCCCAATGCCTGTGCCGAGCCCTGGACGGCACCTCTCTGCAGCCCCAACATGAGCCTTTCCCCCTTGGCCCGCCGATCAGTTCCTATGTTTTTCAAGCCCCAGCTCCACATCTGTCCCCGCTCTCAGGTCTTCCCTGGCCTCCTCAGGGGAGTGGGGAAGGGAAGCGCCTTCTCAGCACTGTCCACAGGCATCCAGCCTGTGCACTGCCTGACTACCTCCCGCCCACTGATTTGCTCCACGTTTATTTAAACCTCATTTCTATTCTTTAACTTGGAGCACTACAAGGCAGGGGCCATATCTGGAAATCTCTGTGGCTCCCATGGTGTCAAGCTTGGTCCTGGCCATGGATTAGTCACATAATAAGTATCTGCCCATTTGCTGTCTGGTTGTGACATGGATTTCTCTCCATTGCCTCTGTGAGGCTAACAAATGGCTGGGAGGGAGACTCCATTTCCATTTCATCCATCCTCCCGTCCAGCCATGCATCCGTGTGCTCACTTAAAAGCTATGGAGCACCACTCTGTGTCAGGCATCGTGCCAGGTGAAAGCAAAGCCCAACAAGACAGCCAGGGGCAACCACAGGGATTGCCCAGCTCCACCTCTGCCCCCCAAACCTGTTAGTGCTCCTGGGCAGTGGTGGGTTCCGTAGTGAAGACGCAGCGGAGGGGCTCCCTAGGCTGGGTGCCCTGGGGTGTTTGCCTACTGGCTGCAAAACACACAACCCCTCCATGTAGGTCCTGACCCAAGAGGCTGTGCGAGTTCCAGGGAGCAACTCTGAGTCTTGACTGGCCCAGGCCCACCCTGAAGCTCTGCCCCTCCTGTAGACCTCGGGTCCCCTGACCTCCACAGACCCCCTCGGATAGGGGCCCCTGGATCTGGGCAGGCACTGAAACGGGCTCTCCTACTGCCTGTCTTCTAGCCACCCCGGCCTGGGTCTTTCCGCTGAGTGAATCCTCTGAGGCCAGAGCACAGGATGTTGTGTTCCAGTCCTTGCGTTGTGGCTTGTGACCCTGTCAGCCCCCCAGGGGGTCCTGCTGTCTGTGCATCTCCCCGTGAGAAGAGAAAATCCATGTTGGATGAGGTATAGCTGGTCTCCACGGGAATGTAAGCCCATGAAGGCAGGGATTGCCATCTGTCTTAGTGATGCTGTATTCCCGCTAAAACCAGTGCCGGGAATGCCCCATCTTCCTTTCCTGTGCTTAGTTTGGGATTGAACCTCTGTTACGAAACAGTGGTGATTTCCCATCAGCAGCAAAGGGGGTCAGTCCCTCTAGACCCTGAGGGGCAAGGGTGGGGGGATCACCGAGCTCTCCTGGAGTGGGGGCTGTTCGGAGGACTTGAACTCAGTCTGCTCTGAGCTGGAAGGAGGTTTATCCTCATCTGCGGCAGCCGCTCTCCTGCGGACAGAGCAGGGCACGGGGCTCCCTTTTGGACTGAGCAGTTTCATGTGGAGGTGGCTTCCTGGGGAATGGATGGGCTGTGCCTCTGGAAAATAGGGCTCGGAGCTGTGCCTGGACACTGAGGCTGGCCTGGCCTGGCCTGCCGGTCAGCCTGCCCTCAAGTTTGCGGAAGGGACTGCATCTCCTGCGGCTTTGAAGCCCTGGCCAGGAGCCTCGTTACAGGGCCACCCATGGCTCCCTCGGCCCTTGCCCCCTCCTGGAGCTAGCCTGGGCTCCTCACAGCAGGAGCTCTTGCTTGCCATCTCTCATGGGTGTTTTTTTCTCCCCCATTCTTTTAAGATTGGTTGGGGAGAGTGGGCCTTGGGAGAAGACCCCCGGATCTCTGGGTATGTACTCGCCGTGCACACCCCCATGTGTTTTTTGACTCTCTGGTTCCTGGGCTGGATCATGGGATCAGAATTAGGGCCAGAGGAGACCTGGGTGCTGTCAGACTCAAGCCCCTCATTTCACAGACGGGAAAGCAGAAGCCACCCTGGTGCCACGGACGGTGGCCCCAACTCTGTGCCGCCCTCCACCAGCGCAAGTCGCTTCACGAACACCCAGCTGAGAGAGACGGCGCTGTCCGCATTTGACAGAGGAAGGGGTCGAACTGAAGCTGGACCTTCTCCCTGGCCTCAGGGCACAGAAAGCAGCCTTGATGCATTTGCACGCAGGTCCTCACGGCTCCAAAGCTGGCGCTTCTGACCCATCGTGTGTCTGCTGCCCCTGCGCGGTTCTAAGTGAATAGAGGATTCCTCTCCAGACAGAGTGAGAAATTAAACCACATCCCACAATGCCTTAGTCAGCCCATCCCGGAAGGTTTCAGCATCAGGGGAATAGAGCGAACCCGGGCTGGCAGTGAGGCAGGTGGCCGAGGCCCAGGGAGGCTCTCCAGCCTGATGACCTAGTTTGTGGAGAGGATGGAAGGTTGGGGGAGGGGACCTGGGCGGAGCACCCTGAGCCTGGGCCGCAGGCGATGGGGAGCTAGAGGCGGCTGCTGTGCTGACGGGCAGGAGGGAGTGGACTCTTGTGTAGCTTCCCAGCAGCTTACTCTGTAATCAGCTCAGCAGGTGGGTCAGTTGCCCAGGGGGAGGCTGCTGCCCAAGAGGCCCCAGGGCTAAGATGCTCAGCTGCGCCCGAGGGGCAGGCCTGGCACAGAAACCTCTGTGGTGACTGCCCCTCCCCCTCTCCCCGGCTGGGCTGCTGCGGGGTAGCTGGGGCAGTCTGGTGGCGCACACCGGCACCCAGTGTCCCTTAAGAGCGACCCTGAGAGCCCTGGAGCGGGGCTTTGGGCCAGGGGACACGAGCCTGTAGCTACGCCCTTGTCCGCCTCACCAGCTTGCTGCTTGAGAACCAGGTCCCCAGGGGGCGGGGGCCAGGCTGCTTGGACAAGGCTTTCTAGGGTGTCTCTTGGAGGCATAGGTGAGAAGGGGCTACAAAGTGGCAAAGTCCTTAAGGGGCTCTCTGACCCTGCAGCTGTTGGCTGGGAATAACATTGCCCAATTTGGGGACCACGTCTGGCACGTAGTAGGGGCTCACGTGGTATTGTCTGAAGCTGAGGGCTTCCCCCAATCTTGTGGCTTTTCCGCAGTCCCTGCCCCGGTCAGCTGGCACCTGGACACCTGTACCCTCGGTCCTACCTTACTTCTGGGCAGATGGAGGCTTCGCCCCTCCTCTCCCTCGGCCCTGGATCCTTCTCCCAGGAGGGATCTTTGGCAGAAGGTGTGGGCCGGGCAGAGATCTGGGGTGACCCGGGAGCCCTGCCGGACCCCCAGACTCAACACACCCTTTCTGGGGCTTCCCTGGTGGTCCAGTGGTTAAGAATCCGCCTTCCAATGCAGGGACATGGGCTTGATCCCTGGTCAGGGAACTAAGATCCCACATGTCGCGGGGCAACTAAGCCCACGTGCCACAACTACTGAGCCCATGTGCTCTGGAGCCCACGTGCCACAACTAGAGAGCCCTTGCATCGCAACTACTGAGCCCGCGCACCACAACTAGAGAAGCCCATGTGCCACAAGGAAGATCCCGCGTGCCGCAACTAAGACCAGATGCGGCCAAATAAATAAATAAATACTAAAAAAAGAAAAGAAAAAAACATACCCTTTTCAGCCTCAGGCAGCCCCAGATGGTGACCCCAATTCCAGAGGACCCCTGATTTGCAAGTTCACTCAAGGACAGTGAACTCCAAACTTTGTGAGCAGGAGAACCTGGTTAACATTTCTTTCATTAAAAGAAAACAAATGGGGTCTTCCCTGGTGGCGCAGTGGTTGAGAGTCCACCTGCCAGTGCAGGGTACACGGGTTCGAGCCCTGGGCCAGGAAGATACCACATGCCGCGGAGCAACTAAGCCCGTGCGCCATGACTACTGAGCCTGCGCTCTAGAGCCCGTGAGCCACAACTACTGACCCTGCGCATCTGGAGCCTGTGCTCCACAGTGGGAGAGGCCGCGACAGTGAGAGCCCTGCGCACCGCGATGAAGCATGGCCCCCGCTCGCCCACCACAACTGGAGAAAGCCCTCGCACAGAAACGAAGACCCAACGCAGCCAAAAATAAATAAATTAATTAATTTAAAAAAAAAAAAAAGAAAACGAATGAACCTACCCGCACACTGCCTCTATTACCAGAAATGTGCTCTTTGAAGCCATTAATTGGGAAAATATAGAATGACAAAGAGATACTATGGATTTGATGTCCTTTGGAAATGAATTTGTATTTTATAATTGTAAGAGCACCTGAAGGTCACTGGGTCTCAGCTTTCCTGTCTGTAAAATGAGAGCCCTGGGCTGACATTAGCTCTCTGGGCCCTTCACTCTGTGTCATAGACTCAGATAGGAGCATGGTGGTATATAACAGTCAGTGGGCTCATTTTATTTTTCCTTTTTCTGAAGTACACACCTCCCAGTTAAAACAGACTTACATTCTCAGGAAATATCTTAAAACTCTTAGATAACCGATCTGCCCCTATTTCCTGCCCAGCCTCCTCCCTCCTCCCTCCCCGCACCCCCCCACCCCCAGTCTTAGAATAAGGTGTGCAATACTAGTTGAATGAATGGATAGAGGGATGAAAGGAGGAGGGTGTTGGTCCTTGGGCAGCCTGTTCTATACGTGCCAGTGCCGCCCTGTAGAGTAAATTTAACCTGTGTCTTTCTCCAGCAAGGAAGCATTGGGCAGAAGAACCGAGGGTGAGGGGCTTAGGCAGGAAAATGTCACACCAACCACAGGGCCATAGAGCCTCAGCCCCAAAGGGATGGCTGCTGCTCCTGGGTGCTGGGCGTCCTCAGCTCCGTTCTTGTTCTCTACTCCTCAGAGCCAAAACCTTTGGTCCTGCCCATCAGAGACAGGTCTGCTGCCCCTGAGAAGCCTGCCCTGCCTTCCTCTCAGTCTGCTCCTATTCTGACAGCCTTCTCCTTCAGCCACACCAAAGAAACCCAGCCCTTGCTAAAAGAAGAGGACCAGAAGGAGAGTGGCACCAAGGTACCTGGAAAGCGAGGGGAAGAGGAAGCTGGGGTCAGAGTGGACCACTGGCTGAACACAAACATGTTTCTGAAATATGTAAGTGTGGGACCAGCTTGAGGAAAGCAAGGAAGAGCCCCGAGGCAGCTGCCCCTAGTACTTGAGGCCAGAACCTATAGATGGGTTTGGGGTGAAGGCTGGAGAGAAGAAGAGAAAGAAGAGAGGAGAAGGATGGAGGTGAAGGGAAGAGTACAGTGGGGAAATGAGGGGTGGGGATGACGGAAGAAGGAAGGGCAGAAGGAGGTCACACATGGTTCAGAAGCAAGTAGGATGTGGGGGAGAGTGCAGAGGGGCTTAGGTGAACCAAGCCTAGTAATTTGAACCAACACCCAAAATAGCAACCCAGAGGCAGCTGACTCAGAGGCAGATCAGCCAAAGGCCTGTGCCTGACAGGCTGACAAATACCTTGGACTTCTAAGGTGACCTTGATCCAGATGATTCATCCAGATTCTCGTCTGGATGAATTTAGTGAAACGTGGAGAGTCACTGTTATGGTCATCATTTGAAACAGAGATATAAGAGTGCAATAAACATACCCTGAAAGCCTGCTGTATGCATATACTATGGGATCCAGTGATGCTGGTAAGGTCCAGGCACCACATCCTCCCACTCCAGCGAGGGTGACGGACCGTGAGACAAAGGAAGAACAATTCAGGGCCATGAAATGATCTCATCCTCCACCCCACCTTAGCCGCTCACTCCCATGGTCATACTGTAGACGTTGGCACTGCAAACAACTTCACCACCGTCACTTCTCAACCTCAAGCACCCCACTCACTCACCACCTTCTCCTACTGTTCTAGCTCAATCCATCTAATATTCCAGCTCTAACACTTGTCCTTCTCCTGCATCAACAATGTTCTCCTTGAAATGGGATCATTCCCACCAGCATCCTAGCTCTCTGTTTCCTCTCTCATCTTAAAACCAAACCAAACCAAAGAAAAATATTGCCTTGTGTCTCTACTCGTCCTCTCCTGAGTGCAGGCCAGCGGGGCTTAGTCCCCGCCAGCCCCGTTGAAACTGCCCCCATTGAGGCATCAATGAGGCCACCTTCCCATGTGCAACACATCTCAGTGCTCTTCCAGCTTGACCCATGGCCAGCTTTTGTGGCTCATCCTTCTTGAATTCCCCACTGAGGGACGGAGATGAGGGATGGCTTCTTTCTTGCTTGTCTGACTACATCAAAATTAGCTCCTTCCTGGTCCTTCTTTGCTGCCGCCTTCTTGTCTTCCTGACCTCTACGTACTGGAGCCCCCAGGGATCAGACCTCTAGCGTCTTACCTATTTATACGGGCCCCTGTGATTTGATCCAGCCCATGGCATTAGGTACCACCTCTATGCTGAGGACTCCCAAGTCTCCCTGTCCAGCCCAGACTTTCCCCAATCTCCAGTAGCTCTTAAATTATATGACTATGTTTATATAGAACTGATACTCGATGTCTCCATTTAAGTCTCTAATTATATCTCAAACTTACCTCGTCCAAGGCTTAACTGTTGAACTCTTACCCTTGCAAAACCTCTTTTTCCCCGTGTCCCCTCTCCATGAATGGCAGTAAAAGGCAACTCCAGCCTTCCAGCTGCTCCGGCCCCATATCTTGGGCCCATCCCTGCCTTCTGTCTTTCTCTCTCATCCCACACCTCATATATCAGCCAAAGCTGTGGGCTCTACTTTTGAAACATGTCCAGAATCTAGCCATTCTGCCATCTTCATTCCTGCTATCCTAGTCCAAGTCCCACCTCATGGGAACCCCTTGTTCTATTTTTGCAACTTCTCGTGAGTCTTAAATTATTTCAAAATAAAAAGTTATTAAAAACAACACTTAGAGAATACCCCCCATCCAGCCAAAGAAAAAGAAAAAAAAAGAATCAGATCACATCACTCTTCTGCTCAGAACCTCCAGTGGCTTGCTGTGTCCTGCGGAGGAAAAGCCCAAGTGCCCACCATGGACCACAGGGCCCAGTGCGCTGTGACTCCGGCCCCATCCCTCCGGCCCCACCTGTGTCCTGCCTCTCCTCTGACTCAGGGCGCTCCTGCCTCAGGACTCCCAGCCACGCCCAGCGCACCTCAGCCTCAGGGCCTGCTCCCTGCTTCATTTCATTTATGTCTCTGCTTCAATTTCACCGCCTCTGGGAGTCCCCCTGGGTCTCCCTACCCGAAACAGAAGCCCCATCACTCTGTGTCCCTTACTTGCCTTCCGGTGCATGTTGCCTGATACTAGAGGCTGTCTGTTTGCTGTCATCTCCCCACTCCATGTGGCTCATGGGGAGCAAGGCCTTTGACCTTTTGTTCATTCTCAGAACAGCAATCAGCACACAGGAGCCACTCACATTCCTGATGATGGAATGAATGGTATAGAAGCACACTTGGGTCCCCAAGGTGATGGAGTTTGCCTTGATCTTGTACCGGATCCAGGTCACCATTGCCAGGTCTGCCCAGGAGAAGATGCGGCTGAAGCAGATGAAGGAGATGGAGTTGGCCCGGAGAGTGAAGGAGCCGGAGAGGGAGAGGGGGAGGGAGCTCGCTTCCCAGAGCCTGGGCTCCCGGAGGACCTTGATGAAGGAAGGTACTGGGTGCTTGGGAAGGCCTCCTCAGGCTGGGGAGGCTTCTTGGCCAACACCTGGGCCAAAAGAGAGGCTGTCCACGCCTCCCACCCTCTCCGTCCTGAGACTGGACAGGGAGCCATGTCTGCTGTCTTGTAGCTCACTGACGGGCCCATTTCCAAAGGGGGACTCTGGGGCCGGGGGACAGGCAGGACCAGCTCTGTCCTCGGACTTCCTCTGCCTCCACAGGCCTCCTTACCCTCCGGGGCAGTGGGACCCTCTCTGTGCCCACTGGGCTGAGCAGCCCCTGCAGAAACAACACTGGCGTCGTCCTGAGGAAGCGGGCCGACAGGGCCTCACTGCCCAGCATCCCTGTCAGAAGCAGGAACTCAGCTTTGCCCGCCGTGCTTCAGGCAGGACCTAGACCAACTGGCTGGGGGGCACGTGTCCCCCTCGCTACGCTGTCTTGGGGTGCTTTGGGGTGTGGCAAGGGTGACTTCTGCTGCTCTGCTTCTGCCAGTTGCCCATGTCGGAGGAGGGGGCAGCCTGGGGTGGTCACCTTGCCAGAGACAGGAACAGTGTCTGGAAGTCAGAAGTATCTGGGAGCCAGGCTGGGGACCCAGGGCGTTGTAACGGGAATCGTGGATGGCTGGACAGGTGTGCCCAGCCTGCGTGACATGTCCTAGAGGACTCACCAGTGCACCGGGACCACAGATGCTGGAAGCAGCCTCCATGGGAGTAGCTGGAAACACCAGGAAGAGGAAAAAAGGGTTCTGGGAAGACCCTGGGTTCTTGCTTGTTGCCTCATAAAATGTCAGGGCTGGACAGGGCTGGTGACAGACTGGGATCTGAGGACCTGAAGGTTCTATGGGGACACTCAGGAAGGTGCCAAGGGACAAGGGGAGGCCCTGTCCCCTTTCTACCAGAGGAGTGTCTATTTTGTCTCCCCTTTTTGAATACTGGGGCTCCATGCAGGATTTCATTTGAAAAGATTTTGCTAGTAAAGAACATTTGAAAACAACCAACCTGGTTCAGAGTTTCTTTAAATGTGGACATTGTTGGTAGAATAGAGCATCATTTTTGTGCTAGAAATAATATTGACTGACCTCCCTTTTCTATTCTCTTTCTATCCTTTTGATTCCATCAAGTAGAAAGTCTTAATCTGGTGCTAGTTTTTAGCACCTCTCTAAGACTTGTGAATCTCCTTTTTAAACAAAGAGATCCTTCTCCCAGCTTGAGACATCAGACGCTGACTGTCCTTTTGCAGCTTGAGTTTATAATGTTCTTTTACTGTCCATATTTATCGTATACCATGACAACTAATCATTTACCAATTATGGTAGTGACATAAACTTCCCTTTAAAATAAACTTATTTAGGATTTGAAAAGTGGGTTGATTTGAAGAAAAGTACCATATAAATAAAGTAAAAGTAATTTCGAGATATAGCAAAAAAATCATGAAATCGGTAACTGAACGGTTGACACTTGGGAAATGTTGAGCTATCTAACCTAAGCCACTCATTTTATAGACAACAGAGACTCAAGGTCACCCAAGGTCTCTCAAGGTGATGGTGGCCCATAGGGACTATGGCTAATGAATCTTTGGCAAATGAATCTTGATCCAATGGCAAAGCTGAGAGGAGAATCCAGGAACGAGTTCTTTTTTTTCTTGGTTTTAAATAAAGGACTGCCCCGATTCAGATTTACTCAGGACCTCCTAGATAGGCCATAGGGAAAGTCACGTAAAGACGAACCTCTGAAGAGAACTAGGCAGGAAGTGAGAGCTCTGGATTCCAGTTCAGGCTCTGTTGATGGAGGAACTGAGGCACTGTGGGCGTCCCCAGCCTCTGTGGGCTTCTGGTGCCTCAGCTCTCTGATTGGAGCATTGGACTGGATGGAAACCTCCAAACGTCCTTCCTGTTCTAGAATTTTATGATTCTGACATCTGTCCCCAAGGAAGGACAGCCTAGAAAACATGATCTGATTTTTAAACAACATCCCTGCTTATTGTCAGTCCCTGCAAGTGTGGCCACATCTTGACCACTCAAGTGTCAGCTAATCGTCTCGTCGGTGCCTTCTCTGTCTCCTGCTTCCTCCCGCCGTCTGCCTTTGGGCCGCTTCCCTGTCTTGGGTGGCTTCACAAAAGGATGGAGAGTCGGAGGGAAGGAGGAGGAGAAGCCGTAACACGGGCTCCTGGGTGGGGATGAGGTGAGAGCAGGGGAGTCATTCCTTGACAGACTTGCTGGCCTCACCTCGAGCCACAGACAGGGCGGGATTCTGGGTGTGTCACCAGCGTGGTGGGCTTGGTCACATGACATCAAGAGCCTATCACAGGCCAGCTTGTTTATAATAATCAGATGGGCAATGGTAGGGGTAGAAACTGTCAACCAGGGGTAGGAGTTCGGTGGTCTCTGTGGCTCCCCAGGGAGTGCAGCCTAGGCCCTGGCTTCTCACCCTCGCGGCTCCCTTCTCCCTGCGTGCCCCCCTAAGGTGGGCTCGGCGCTGTGCGGGTCGCGGGTCCTCTGGGTAACACTCGCCTGCTCCTTTCCTTCTCTGTGAGTGCAGCTCACTCCTTACCTGCGGTGCTTACTTTGGGGTCTCCTGAGTGGGAAGAAGAGGAGGAGGAGATGGACCTTCGGGCTTTTAAGGAGCTAAGGCCTTTCTCGAACACGGAGCTGGGGCTGGTGGATGCCCTGCAGTGCCTGGACCGCAGCGACTGGTGAGGAAACACTCCCTGTGCTCCGGCCGCCGCCCCCCCGCCTCCCCCACTGCAGGCCCTCGTGGCTCTCCTCGTGGCCCAGATTTCATCAGAAGGAAGCATTGTCCCCAGGAGGAGGCGTGAGGGGGAGTGCCTGTGGGTCTGGCCGCCTGCGCCTGCCCCGTGCACTGCTCTGTGGTGCACCAGAGCCAGCCCTAGAAAGTACGATCTGACTCCGTGGCGCTGTCATGGGGGCCTGAGGAAGGTCACAGCCCTTCATTTTTCTAAGTCGAGTTCATTCTGCTCCCGTGTTCCTCCCACACACAGTCTTAGTTGCGAGCAGAGCGATGACTTGGGGTCCAGAACCTTTGCAGGAAGGCCTCCTCGTCTTCAGTCCTCGCGTGCCAGTGCCTTCTCTTGCAGGTGCTGGCTTTGTGTCTGGCATAGGCCCGGGCTCTGGGGTGGGCTTCCATCCTGGGTGGGGATGGGCCCCGGGCCCCGTAGAATGGCGTGCACGGGACGGTTAGGATTTCAGCCTAGGGGTTACACCAGGACACCCTGCCGCTGAGGCCATTGAATCCCTCCGCACTGCGGTGGAGGTGCTGGTGATGGGCATGCCCTGGTCTGCAGAGGGAGGGGGCTCCTCCCATGCCCACTGCCTGTGACAGGGCCTGGACTTGCTTCTCAGGCAGATGAAGGAGAAGGGCCTGGTGAGCATCCAGCGCCTGGCGGCCTGTCACTCGGAGGTCCTCGCTGGGAGGCTGCACGACGTGTCCTTGGCCGTGACTGGAGAGGTGAGGCCTCCTGTGTCCTGTGTACTCCGCTTGACCCCAGCCAATCCCCCTTCCCTGGTGGTGTTGCTCAGTGTGGGTCACACAGCAGCCACGGAGGGGCCCACGGCTCCCTGCAACATGGGCATCCCTGCCTATTTCTCAGCCCTCAGCCACTGAAGCAGGAGCTAGCCACCCATTTCTCAGATTGGAAAGCTGAGGCCTGGAGTTCCCTTATTTCTAATCTCTGGGTATTGAAACAATCAGCATCTTATGTGCCCATTTGTCACAGCCCTGCATTGTCCTCTGTACTTAGGACGCCTCAGGAGGGATCGAGTGTTCTGGGCCAGATCTCTAACTTCTGGGCAGTTGTAACATTTCCCAAATTCTTTCTCCTATGGGGCTAGAGCTTGGCCTAGGCTGGGCTCAGAGGGGCAGTAAGATGTATCGTATCACAAGTGGAGCCCATGACCCATGCCCTTGGGAATAGACTGTTCCAGTGGGGGGCCTGTGAAGGTCCAATTAAATAATTGTGTTTTCAAGACTAAGTGTTGCACAAATTTCAGATGATAATGATAATAATAGAATTGATAATTATGATGATAGTAACAGTAACAGTGTTTCTTTAAAACGGGACTGTTTTGCCCAGAGCAGCTGCAGGGTTTCTGTTTCTAGCCTGGCGAGGCCTAGGCCCGGGTGAGGGTGAAGTCTGCGGGAGGGTGGTGCAGGGTTCCTTCTTCGTATGTGCTGGAGCCCTTGGCAGGGCCCAGCAGCCTGGCAGGGTCCCCCTCCCATCTCTCTCCAAGGTCACCAACCTCCGCTCCAAGGTGTCCCACCTGGCCATCAGCACCCTGGGAGAACTTTTCCTGGCCTTGAAGAAGAATATGGACCAGGAGTCTGAAGAGATCGCCCGCTGCCTGCTCCAGAAGATGGGGAACACCAGCAAGTTCATCCAGAGGGCGGCCAGCCGGTCCCTGGGGGCCATGGTGCAGCACGTGACCCCCACCCGCTCCCTGGTGGCCCTCATCTCGGCGGGCATCTAGTATGCGGGGGCCTGTTGTCTGGGAGGGCAGTGGCCTGGGAACGTGACTCAAAGGGGAGAGGCGCTGGGGTGGGGGAGGAGCAGGGAGATGGGGCAGGCACCTCACGTACTTTCCTGGGCGAGGAAGACCCCTGTTCCCTGGTGGGCTTCTCTCCCACCTCTCCTGGACCAGCCTGTGGGTAACGAGGGGAGCTCAGTGCAGCCCCGGGTCCCAGCTGGGAAGGGACAGGTGCTATTGTCTGCTCAACCCTGGGGAGCCTGTAGTGGCTGTGGTAATGTCCCCAGAGACGGGCCGGCAGAGGCACCTTTGGCCTGTGCCTGAGGAGCCCCTGCCACTGTCTCAGGGGAGGGGTGCTTCCTTCTGATGAAATCTGGGCCACGAGGAGAACAAGGCACAAGACCTCCTCCAGCTGGTACCGCTTGGCCTTCTGGGGTGGAGGAGGGGGCTGGCAGCCACTGGAGCCTTTCTACAGCCAGATCTGCTTTCTCTTCATGTAAAAACCAAACACAGTGGCAAAACCAGAAGCATTTCCCAAGCCCTTTCTCCCACAGGGTGAAACAGCTCTCAACCCCAGCAAGCCAGTTACGACACCGACCCTTATGCAGGGTGGCCTATTGGGTAGAACCCAGGGCGTGTTGGAGCAGCCAAGAGGCCTTTGCCTACAGACCCCCGAGCCATGTTGCCTGGGCTCACATCCTGGATTGTTACTAAACTTCCCCATGCCTTGGTTTCCTCATCTGTAAAAGGGGGATAATACTGGGTTGGCCAAAAAGTTCGTTCGGGCTTTGCCGTAACATCGTAGGGCAAAACCCGAATGAACTTTTTGGCCAACCCACTGCTAATACTGTTGTGAGGAGTAAAGGAATTGATTCAGGAAAGAGCACGTAGAGCAGCGGCTGCCTCCACCTCGCATCTGCTGAATGCCCTCCGTGGCTCCTGTTAACTCGGGAGAAATGAATTGTACTTAGCTCTGGATTCCTCCCCATGCTGCCGCTTCCTCCCCTGCAAGATGATGACAGGAGTAGCTTACAGAGTTGAGGTGACGCTGGTTTGAAGGTGCTCAGTATGGTGCCTGGCAGGGAGGCTGTGCTCGCAGCAAACTGAGACAGTTGACGGTTGTCCGCAAGGACCAGGGGAGCCTGGTACAGGGCTGTGCATTGAATGCCCGGGGGTCTGGCTAAAATGCTGATTCTGATTCAGGTGCTAATGATGCTGGTCCCTGGACAAAACTGAGTAGGGAGAGCCCAGAAGCCTCCCTTTGTGTTCCACTGGGACGGACCCCAGGGCCAGTGTCACCTCATGGACTGTGGGCACATTGAATCCACATTGAATGGGGTGAGAAATAAAGAGGTGACATCCTGATGGGTTCCTCCTGTAAGATTTCAGGTTCTCCCTAAAATCATCCATCAGCCTCCTATCCCCCCGGCCCCGTCTCAGTTCAGCTCAGTGAATGTGCAGGAAGCTCCCACGAAGCGCTGAAGGGTTGGCATGTGCCTGGCACCAGTGGGGCATGGGGGATTTGACTGAGAGGAAGCCATGCGGGTACCCCTGTACTTCCCAGGGGACAAGGACACTGCCACCCCCAGGGAGCACTACTTCTGCCTGGAGACCTCAGAAGGCACAAGTAGGTTATTCTAAGTGGAGAAAATGTGGGGAAGTGCATCATTTAGGCAAAGGGAGGACAGGAGCTCAGGAAGGAACGGGGATGGCAGGCACACAGTGCGTCTGGTGACGTCACGTGTCTTCACGTGCTCAGTCCACCCTGTCATCATCCTTAGTTCCAGTGTCAGGAAGGTCTGCTCTTTCCTTGAAGATTCCCTTTAGTCTGCTCGGGACCAAATTTGGAGCCCACTGCGGCCTGAAACATGGATGCACAGCTGTAGGTCCGTGTGTGCCAGGCTGGGGACCCACACACCGCATCCCTTGGCTGGGCCCTTGTCCGTGATTGTGTTTCCTTTCAGCCACCGAAACCCCTTAGTCTGGAAGTGCACTGCCGAGCACCTCTCGGTCGTCCTGGAGCAGATAGGCGCCGAGAGGCTTCTCTCAGGCACCAGAGAGAGCACAGACGTGCTGGTGCACCACCCGGTGAGGCTGGCCCAGGACTCCAACCAGGACACCAGGTAATGCGGGGCCAGGGCCAGCCCAGGGCAGACAAGGCAACCAGCCAGCCTCGAGGGCCCAGGCCCAAGTAGCTCAGCTTCCCCGGGGCCACTCGGAAGGACAGCCGGTGGACGAAGCTGTGTCCTTTCCCTGCAGCTGTTGTCCCACCTCTCCACACCGCCACAGCCGGGCCCGCTCAGGGAATGGCCACTACCCGCCCCCACCCCGGCTCCCCTTTCTCACCTTCCACTCCCTCTCCAGCCGTTGCAATCTTGCTCTAGTTCCTGTCCCAGCCCAGCTCCATTCTCTATGAGGCCATCCATTCATTCAATTTTTCAAGAGATATTTGATAAGCATTCTTTTCATTACTATGAATATGACTGTGAATAAGAAAAATTAGGCCCCTGCTGTCTTGGAGATTACCTCCTAGTTGGGTAATAAGCAAGTAAATAATTACGACAATTTTAGACACAGATAAGGGGTAAAACAAGAGGTAGTAGAGAACGGGGTCAGGGCTACTTTAGATTGAGAGTCAGGGGAAATCTTTCTAAGGAGTGACATTTGAGTGGAGAACTGATGGGCTAGTGGGACCCAGCTCTTGGAGGGTCTGGGGTGCAAGAGTCACAGCAAAGGAAGATAGTACAGAGGCTCCCGGGTGGGATAAGCTTGCTGTTTAATGAAGAGAAAGGCGAGGCTTTGTGGAGCACCGTGAGTGAGGGGAGTGGCAGGCGATGAGACGAGAGGGCAAGGCCAGGCCCGGGGTGGGGGCCTCACAGGCCCTGGTCAGGAGCTGGGATTCCCGTTTGGGTGTGACCGGAAGCAATGGAGGATGTTTTCAGTAGGAGTGTGAGGCAGTGTTAGATGGTTTTAAGCAGGAGAGTGATAGGATCTGATTAACTGTCTTTAAAACCTGGTGTTGGGGTGCAGTTAATCACACTCCCCGGTTCATGGCGTGTTATCACCATGTCTAGGGCCCCCAGCACGCTTGGTACAGCTCAAGGGCACGTCCACACTGCGTTCTGTGTTGTGTCTGAGGCAGTGCCTTCGTGTGGGATGTCTGTGCAGTGCACCCCTGGAGGGATGCGACGCACGGGATGCCTCCCACCCTGCCCAGTGCACTCCCACAGTGCTGTACCTCAGTCCTTGTAAGTGGCCCCTGACAGAGCCCAGGAGGATCTCTTTGGGAATTTGCCCGGAGCGCGAGTGAGGTCAGGGCCGTGTTCACTCAGGCCGCCCAGGCATCGCCGGGAGCCCTCACGCACGCGGAGCCCCTCCACCTCCCTCCTGAGTGCCGAGGCGAATACATCCTTACAACATTGCAGTTTCTGGATTTCACATTTTTATCCATCTGATGGGGAAAAGTTCTAGCTCATGGCTGTTTCCGAATACTTTTTTTCCCCTCCCTGATTACTAACAAGTTTGAGTGCTTCTTTATAGGTTTGCTAGCCTTTTGATTCAAAAAACATCTCTTTATTCTGTTCTTCCTACAACATAATGTTAGGCTTTGGGAAATTCGATGGAGAGGAAGAAGGCCTAGAAAAAACAGAGCTTTTTTATACTTGGAACTTGCTGTCTCTGCAGGATCCTGTTTGGGGATTTTCTGCCTCTCCTTTCTACCTCTCCAGGAATCAGCCCATGAAGATAGCAGAGATTCTCTTTATCGGACCCACTACTGTTGAACTATCCTCTATCTGTCCTCTTTCTTAGAGGGGGCAGCAAGACAGTTTTGGTCTTACTACAGTATTCTCCAAAATAATTTGTATATGCCTCAAACCCTTCCTATATCATTAAGGATCCAGGTTTTTGAAAACCAGGTCAGGAAGAGACGACCCCTCAACCCTAGTACCTATCGTTAAATCCCTTCCTTGACTCACTGACCAGTGAAAGGGCTGGATGACTAAAGTTAAAAAAAAAAAATTGGACATTTCAGGGGAGACTAATCATGAAAATATTACCCTACGCACCAGATTTAATGATCCGCAAGCTTTCCTCCTGGTTTCCAAGCTGATGGGTGATCTGATCTGGGGAAAGAATGATTCACAATTTTGGCAGCTTTATCATTTTTTAGAAAATATTCCCTTTGGTTACCTCATAAACAAAAATTATTTATAAAAAAAACAACAAACAAAAAACATCTCTGACTACTTACTGGAGGATTGATGGTGGGGGAGAGGGGCCAGGATGGAGAAGGGATGCCAGGCAGATGGTTACCCCGGAGTCCCGGCAAGAGGTGCCGGAGGCTGCAGCAGGGGGAGGAGGGGTGGAGTGGGGTATATTTTGAAGGCATAGCTGAGAGCAGTTGGGCGCTGAGGATTTCAAAGAGGAATCAAAAGATGATGCTGAGGTTTTTAAACTGAACAACTGGGTGAATGATAGTGCCATTTACTGGCAGGAAGACTATTGTCAGGGAAGTAGAAGGTTTTGGTTGGCTGGTTCTTCATTGTTGGTGGGGGGATGGGCGTTAAGATCCAACATCTCTCCAGATCTAAACCCCTCTCCGTTCCGACCCTCTCTCTCACACTGGATGGCGTTGACAGCACTTCATTTTCCTTCTTGGAACCCTATGCTTCCGGCTTGCATGGTACCACATTCCCTAGTTTTCCTGGTTCCTCTGTGCCTTTCTCCCCCGCCTGCCCGCACCCCGATGCCCGTGGCTGCAGGAGTGTCTTCGTCTTCGTCCCCCTCTTGCAGCCTTCTCTGAGAGGTGCCGTCACTTCCTGTGGCTCCAGCCACGGCAAACTCTGATGCTTCCCCGTGTCTCCCTCCAGGCCAGCCCTTCTTTGAGCATCTGTCCCATCTCTCTGATGCCCCCACAGGACCCATCACCGGGACGTCCCACTGTCATCGTCAGTGCAAACTGTCCCTAAATGAGCTCATTGCCTTCTCTTGAAGCCTGCTTCTCTGGCTGTGTTCCCTCTCTTATTAAAGTCACTATTATTTACCAAGTCATCTAGATACAGAATGGGGAATTTCATACTTCATTTTCCCCCTCCACGTTTTAATATCTTAGAATCCTAGGCATCTCACAGCTGCTGGTGGCCAGGCAGCAGTTATGACTTGGGCTTTACTATCTATACAGTTGCAAACCTGATCGTTGTTGCTCATTGTATAAATGTTTGAATTACAGTTTGCATCGTAGGAACTACATTATGAGCCTTTCTTTGCTGCTTAGCCTTTTATATTTATTTAAGGAGTCCCTGGGGAGAATTGTTAGGTTTAATCGCGTTTAAAATGTCTTAGAAATATTACATTATTATTTGGCATTGAAATGAAGCGTTATCGTATATGAGAAAAGGCATGGAAATAGAGCGATGGGGCATAAATTCGATATTAACGCAAATATTCATCACTGAAAGAATGACCCAAATTCCACAGTTTCTTACAAAGCAACCAACAAGTACTTTATCCAACCTAAGGAAGGAAGGACACTTCCCACAAAAGTGTCACTTCTGTTTCTGAGATAGCATGTAAAAGGATGGCCTTCGCACACGGGGCTGTGTCACTGGAGGCAGTGGAAATCACCAGTGTCTTCTTTTTCTGTTTTTCCTTAGTGGAAAATAAATTAATGGTGCATTTTACAATCAGTGGAGTTTTAGGTCGAGTGAAGTATGATAATTCTAGATGCTTTGGGCTTCCGCTCCAATCACCTACCAAGCCCTGCAATTTCATCTTCTTTAGCAGCTCTTGAATCTGATCGTCCCTACTTACCCCCACCCTCCTGCCTATGTCAGGCCTTCATCATCTTTTGCCTGGACTATTATAATGGCCTCCTAACAGGTCTCCTGGCCCTAACCCTTGTCCCCAAAGATCCGTCCTCCACAGTGCTGCCTGAGACATTTTGACTTCAGTGCAAATCTGATCATTTCTCAGCTTCCCATTGCCTGCAGCCTAAAGCCCAACTCCTTCACATCTCCCTAAATTGAGTCCTATCTTCTTCTCTAGCCTATTCTCTCCCTGAGTCCAGTCCCCGCCGACTATTCTCCAACCACACACCTGTAGACCTATCAGACTGTCTTATGGACACTGGGATGTCTCCCTCCTCCACTTACTCCTTAATCCCATCCCACTTGTGAACTCCTACTCATCTTTTGAGTCCCAACCCAAGGTCACCTCTTCAGTGAAGCCCTCCTTGATGCCCCCCCTTACCCACCACTGTTTATCAGATAGAGTTGACCACTCCCCCCTATACTGCCCCACTGCACACTTCCTCAGACTTCTAAATGTCTCATGCTAGAAAAATGTTAATACACTTTGGTATAGTCATCTAACAGAATACTATTTAGCCATTGAAGAGGATGACGTGGGAAGATGATTAATGGTAAAGTGAAAAAAGCTGGGTAAATATTGCGTATATATTCTGATATCACTGAAAATGTATATATGCTTGGAAAAAAGACTATAAGAAAATATGTACAAATTTAAGTGGTTTTCTCTTGACAATGAGATTATTGTTGTTTATTTCATGAATCTAGTTCTTAACTGGGTGGGGATTACTGTCATAATGAGAAAAAGTATTAAAAATTCTCTTACTGCAATTAGAAGAATTATGTAAAGCAAATTTATATTGCATTTCTGTGGTTGTTTTTCATCCTGCTCTTTCTCCAATGGCAGGTTTTATGGCCGGAAGATGGTGAATATCTTAATGTCAAACACAAGGTTTGATGCATTTCTGAAGCAGTCCCTCCCATCCCACGACTTGCAGAAGGTCATGACAGCTATTAAACAGTGGGTGAGTCAGCAGGCAGCGAGGTGTGAGCTGGTCTGGGGCGGGAATCAGAGCTGAGCCCGGCAGCTCACAGCCCTCACGCTGGTCAGAGGAGGGGGGCATGCACTCCAGAGGCTTCGATTTCATCCACAACTCCTGACGGGTGGAATTTCCTTCCTGGTGCTCAGACCTGCTTCTGCCTCTCACTGCCTGTGTCTCTTGAGCCTCCCTGGGCCTCTTTGCCTCCATCTTTTAAGTGGGGATCTTGATCCGTGACCCGATTACCAGTGCTCTGGAAGACTCCCCTGTGCCCTCCCAGGTGGAACAGATTATTCCTCTTGTTTTGGTCTAGACTGGAGTGTCTGGCTGTTCCCCATAGGGCCACCCCTTTTGGTTCATGTTCTGTGTGTGTTTTTCAAGGGAATAGAAGATGGTGATGAACTTCCATCTGCCAAAGGCCGCAAGGTGTCGAGGAGTCTGTGGTGTGTGAGAATGGGCTGCCCGGCGAGGATGGGTACAGTAGCTCTTGTCTCCCTGGGGCGCCCCATCCAAGGCTGCTGATGGAGATGTTCTGCTTGGCCCGGGCCCGCCGTGGTGGCCCTGTGGGGAGGGGTGTGCATCTGGGCTGTGACTGAGACCTAGTTGGGTCAGCAGGACTCATGGGTAAATTGATGGGCAGGGCTCCCTCACCCAGATCTTGGGGAGAGCAGATGCTGGGCTCAGGAGCATCTGCTGGGAGAGACGGGCTCCCGCAGTCCTGGCCGTGTAGGTGCAGTTTAAGTGGGATGCATTGTTGGTCAGCCTTTTTGTGTGAGCTCAGAGTTTCTCCATTCACTTAGAGCAGCAGGGCCTTTCCCCATCAGAGTGGCCGGCCTGGGACTAGTTTAGAGGCAGAGGTGGAATCAAGGCGGATGAGAAGGAATGGGCCAAGGGGCTAGAGGGTGGGCATTAGGAGGGGTTAGAAATCCAACAGGAATCTGACAGTCACTCCTGTGCCCAAAACTTAAGACCCTTCTGCGATGTCCCGGGAGGAACATGTGTAGACTCCTAAGCTGGGCCCCCGGGGAAGCCCCCTGCCCACCTCTTCTAGAGAAGCTTCCTGCTCTGTCTCCCATGCATGCTCTCTCAGCTCATGTTCCCTGCGTTCTCTCTCACTCCTGTGCCTTTCCCTGCGCTGCGCCGTCTGTACCGGAACGTGCCTATTTATCCTACAAGATGTGGCTCACCTGTCACCTTCTCCCAGAAGCTCTCTCTGGCTCTCTGCCCTCACGTCCTCCGGTGGGGCCGGTTGCCCCCCTCCTTCAGTCCTCTGTCTCCCATTGGTCTGTGAGCTCCTCAGGGCAAAGTCCACATCTCTCATCTCATTATTCTCAGTGTCTGACACTTCTCTTGGAACTCAGTAGGCAAAGAGTGTGGAATGTAGGGATGAATGTCAGAATGATGTGGGGCTCTATCGGGTGGGACCCGGGTGTAGGGCATGAGCTCAGAGACCCAGGTCTGAGTTGGCAGTGGGCGATTGGAGTTCTGTGTGAGGCGGCTCCCATGCTGGCTGAAACAGGCCAGGGGAAATGATGGTCATGTGATCCCAATGTAAGACAACAGAGCTTCTTAACATTTCCCTAGTTCCGGAGGAGTGTAAGCAGAGCCTAGGCAGCCAGGGCTCAGGATACAGGCTCCTGGTAAGACCTTCCCCCACTCTTAGGTTAAATTGTGCAGTCATCCTTCCATGGATTTCCACCCCCTCAGTCCAAGCTCCCTCACCCCATTCTTTTTTTCTTTTTTTAAAAAATTTATTTATTTATTCATTTATTTAATTTTTGCTGCATTGGGTCTTCGCTGCTGCACGCGGGCTTTCTCTAGTTGCAGTGAGCGGGGGCTACTCTTCATTGTGGGGCGCAGGCTTCTCATTGTGGTGGCTTCTCTTGTTTCAGAGCACAGGCTGTAGGCGCACAGGCTTCAGTAGTTGTGGCTCGCAGACTCTAGAGCGCAGGCTCAGTAGTTGTGGCGCACGGGCTTGGTTGCTCCACGGCATGTGGGATCTTCCCGGACCAGGGCTCGAACCCGTGTCCCCTGCATTGGCAGGCGGATTCTTAACCACTGCGCCACCAGGGAAGTCCCCCTCACCCCATTCTTAACGTAGCTTCTGAAAAGAGGAAAAAAAGGCAGGAAGAGAGAGCCCTGCTGCCTGATAAGGGGATAGAGCTCTAGGCAACCCAACTGTTGCCCCCTGAGGAAAAAGCATTTCCAGAGTTCCCAAGGCCTGTGTCCTCAAGCGGCAGGTGGAGGGGAAGCTGGGATGGACTGCGTTGCAAGTGAAACTCTTGTTTCAGCCCCACCTGTCTTTGGGGCTTGTGCATGGGACAGGAGATGTGTCCATCCCCTGGGGCTGCCCAGGTCAGACGCTCCTTCCACGTAGGCTCAGCTCCAGTGGCCCGCAGCTGGCAGGGCTGCGCTCCTCCACGCGGGGTGGCTTGGAGATGGCGGAGCAGCTGCGGGAGCTGACACGGCTGCTGGAGGCTGAGGAGTACCAGTCTCGGATGGAAGGCGTGGGGCGGCTCCTTGAGCACTGCAAGGCCAAGCCAGAGCTCATCACCGCCAACCTGGTCCGGGTGAGTGCTGCCCCGTCTCTGCCCTGTCTTTCCCTGGTGGGTGCAACTTTGGAAAACTCGGGACAGGGTTGGACATTGCGCCAGACATCGCTTCAGGGTAAAGGGAGTCTGACAAGCACTCGCTATCCAATTGCCACGGTAATGCCATAAGACTCTCTGGAAGTGGCCAATTGGGCAAGGGCATCGCCTCCTGCTGGGTGCGCTGGGACCACTCAGAGATGTCCTGGGTGTCTTTCATCCTCCCAGCAGTTTTACAGGGAGGAGGGCCGAGGTGCAGGATGCTGCAGCTAAGGGCGACTCCTGATCCAGCTACGCACATGAGGTTTTGGGGGCAGAACATGTGGCTCGGAGTAAGCACAGGCTTCCACAGGCTGGAAATGAGGGCAGATGCCTGCTACTTCCGGAAGTGAGGCAGCTGACACTCTACATAGAAGAGTAGTTAAGACACAGGCTTCAAGTTTCTTACTAGCTGTGTGATCTGGGCAAGTCATTTAACCTTTGTCAGACTCAGTTTTTGTTTTGGTGGTTTTTTTTTTTTTTTTTTTTGGTCGGGGGGCCCCTCTCTTTTGTGTCCTCTCCCGTTGCGGAGCACAGGCTCAGGATGCGCAGGCCCAGCGGCCATGGCTCACGGGCCCAGCCGCTCCGCGGCATGTGGGATCCTCCCGGACTGGGGCATGAACCCGTGTCCCCTGCATCGGCAGGCGGACTCCCAACCACTGAGCCACCAGGGAAACCCTTTTTTTTTTTTTTTTTTAATGGTAAACTGAGGACGAGAACACGTGCCTCATGGGTCGTTAAGATCACTCCATGAGCGAGTGCAGAGTACCTAACAAGATGCTCTACACCCTACACCCTTTGCGCTCATCGAGTACTCAGTGTACAGCCGTTTCCCCTCTTGTCCTCCTCCCCTTTGAGAGGTGAGCTTTTCTTCGTCACTGGGAATGTACTGGCACAGGCTGGATGGTCCCTGTCAGGGATGCAGGAGGAGTACCCTCCAAGGGCAGTTAGTTGGGCTGTGGGACTCCTGCCCAGACTGGGTTCCCATGGGCTCTTGGTTTCTGTTCCCTCAACAGGTCTTTGATGCTTTCACCCTAAGGCTTCAGGATTCCAACAAGAAAGTGAACCAGTGGGCGCTGGAGTCCCCCTCCAGGATGATGCCCCTCCTGAGAGAGAGCTTACAGCCCGTGCTGCTCTCCATCATCATTGCTGTAGCAGACAACCTCAACTCCAAGAACTCAGGAATTTACACTGCTGCGGCGACGGCGCTGGATGCAGTGATTGAGAGTCTGGGTGAGCCTGCCCACGGCCCCTGCTTGGCTCTGGTAGGCAGCTGGCTCCCTCCCTTGTCCCTCTGTAGGGTTAGGGTTGGACATTCCCACCTTCCCTGCTTGGGAATCAGCAGAGCAGTGAAAGGCATTGATTGGCTCTCAGGCCAAATATTTCCCCAGAGGTTGTGTAGGGCAGGGGTGGGCAGCCCAGGGCCTCCCAGGTTCCTGGTTGGCAGGCTTTTCCATGGGACGTCCACCTGTTAGAAGTGGAGGAGATGTGGAGAATATCTAGTCTTGCCTCCTCGTGGTACAGGTGATGGAAATGACTCACCCCAGGTCACACAGCACCACAGTGAGTGAGCCAACAGGGCACTGATGGGAAAACAGATCACGATTGCCAAGAAGGAGCTAGGAGGAGTTGTCAAATTTTTTCAGTTGTAGAGATGGTAGCAGGGGATGTGGCTTGTATGGGGACCAGGCAGGATGCTGGTGAGACAGTAGGGTAAGCCTGTTGGAGAGGACAAAGGTGGCCACCCTTGTTGTCTAACATGGGAGTCAAGCTGGGACCCATTGGCTTTTTGAGCATGGAATGAATGAGGGTTGCCTTTTAGGAAGACTGGGGCCAGGGCTTGGGGTGGAGAGTGAGGGTGGAGTGGAGGCTTGGGGGAGGAATGAAAAGAACAAAAAGGCGGGAGCTATGGGAGAGACGTCAGGAAAGGCAGGAGCTCCTCTGTTCCTTATGTGCTTTGCAGGAGCACATCTTGGTTCTTGAACGTTAGGTGCTGATACTTCTGTTATCCATTCCTTTCGTAGATGATTAGACGGTGCTATTTGTGTATCTAGTACACAGACTGAAGTGCAAGTTTGAAACCTCCGGTGTGTGAGAACGTAGTACATGATAGATGTATGTCCAGACCAGTAGAACCACGAGTTTTCACAACCTAATCTTGCCTTGCTGGGAGGAAATGTATGATCTGAGAACCGCTGCTGGCTTGTTGCCATATGTCCCGATGAACACAGAGCAATGTCCTGCCTCTAGGACGTGCCGAGCATCTCCGTGGTGCGGCTGGAAACACTGCCTGGTGCACCCACCCCTCCTCCCCATACTGCACCCTGGCCTGAGTGCAGCTCCCTGGGGCTGGGACAGCAGCTGTGTCCTTGGCTGGAGCCTCCAGGAGACGTTTCAGTGACAAATCAAAGGTCTGGTCCGGCCCTTCTCCGCCTCTCGAGATCATAAATATTGTCAATTTCCTCTCTTCATCTCAGAGGGAATTTATGATTTGCTCAGTGTGTTGCTGTAGAACAAACAAAATAAGTCCAGCTCTAAATTACGGCTTGTTCTCGGCGCTGCTTTGGGTAAGTGAGATTGCCGTTGCCAACAACCGAGGCTCTTGGTAAATCACCACGGGCCCTATATTTATTGGGAAAACCTGCATCAAACAAAATAGGCTTTAGCTATTTGAAGAGGCTAAGCACCCTTGTCTGGCGAGAGGAGCTTTTAACGCTTCCCCCTCCAGGTGTTTTAGTTTCCCCTTTTTGCCTTTGAGTCGGCCTCCTTCTGCACGCTGGAGCCTTGGAACTTTGGGCTGCAGAATCTGGTGTCTCACACTGTCGCAAGACTCGGATCCCCTCTACGTGGGGCCCTGCTGTTTCCATTTGGGCTGGACACCCTGGAGAGGGGACCTGGGGATGGCCTGCTTCTGTGATTTGACCACACCTTGAGGCAGGTTGCAGCAACCAGGAAGATGCCTATACTTCTCCTTTCCTCCCGGGACAGGGTCTCCTTGGGGAGGGCTGACGGTGCTCCTTCTGGCCCATCAGCCGGAGGATTTGGTGCCGGGAGAATGGAGGCAAGTGAGAGGGGCACTGCCCTTCTCTCTAATCCTTAGGTCAGCGCTAGGCTGGAATGGAATGGGGTCAAAGGGATGGATGGAGCCCACTAACCCCCTGGCACAAGGCTCCGGAGTGTCACGTCCAGGGTGTTGGCTCCAGGTCATTTGAGCAGGCGTGGTCAAGGGCTTTGCTGTGAGCCATACTCTCTCAACCCAATCAGCAGCGTTGCTTTTGGAAGTGTTCTTAACTGTGACGTAAGGATCCAGCTTCTAAATCCGTGAAGGTCAGAACTGGAGGGATTAGGTTGCCAACGAGAATTCATCACTGTTAGGGAGTACCAGGGGTGGAATCAAGCTCTCCCAGGGAATGGTTCTCTTCTGCCTGGAATGGTCTAGGCCTGGCCTGCAGAGGGAAAAACGGATGCAAGTAATGAAATTTCCCACTGTCCCAGGGGACTAGGTGGTGGACACAGAGGCTGGGGCGGGTGTGACAGGAGAGAAGGGTGTACATCTTCCTTCCCATATCACCCAGGCTGAGCCCAGGCAGCTCTAGTCGACCTTTAGCACCCAGAGGCCCCTCCTGGAAGTGGCGTGGAGCCCTTCGAGCAGCGGGAGCTTTCTCCCAAGCCGGATTCTTCGTGCCCCAGGAGGGATTCTGGGCTCCAGGCTGGAGAGGAGCTGTGAAGTGCTGTGAAATAAATGTGTGGAAAGTCACAGCATGTTACTGTTTATTTCCTGCTCAACGGGGGCCAAGGAGGTCAAGAACACAGGTGAGGCAGGCCGTCTTCTGGCACAAAGTCCAGATCGCACAGCCAAACTGGGAGGTTGGTCTTCTTAGGTGACCTCTTGATTCTGGAATTGGGTGACAAAATCGACACATCAGCCACCACGTCTCTCCCAGTCCCTTCCTTTTCCCTAGGGTGAGTGGGGCGGTGATGTGCTGGTTGACAGAACAGGTGGGATTTCTGCCCATGTCCCCTTTTGGGGGACAGTAAAAAAGGAGACGTTGGGAGCCTTGTTCCCTGACCTCTGCCCTCTGTCACTGCCTGCCTTAAGGCCTCTCTGGGGCTGAGCCTGGAGTGGCACCCTTTCTACTCTTCACCGAGACCCTCTGATTTCAGGGGAGTTGTTCCAGGGATAAGGCAGTTCCTCAGCAGACTGGCTGGTTCTGTCTTTGGGCTCTGTTACTGGGTTAGTTACAGAAGAAACTTCACTAATTAAAGCAGCAGGCTGCTGACAGCTCACCGCACTCCTGGTTAGACTGAACACCGGAAAAAGTTCTCTCAATGTAGTGCAGCCCCTGGCCAGTGCTGGAGGGAGCAGATAAACTCAGAAATGGGCAGCTGCAGATCTACAATACTTCTGCTCTTTTGCTCTGACTTCATTTAGTTTTTTATTATTATTTTTTAAAAATAAATTTACTTATTTATTTATTTTTGGCTGCATTGGGTCTTCATTGCTGCGCGTGGGCTTCCTCTAGTTGTGGTGAGGAGGGGGCTACTCTTCGTTGCGGTGCGCGGGCTTCTCATTGCGGTGGCTTCTCTTGTTGCGGAGCACGGGCTCTAGGTGCGTGGGCTTCAGTAGTTGTGGCATGCGGGCTCAGTAGTTGTGGCTCATGGGCTCTAGAGCGCAGGCTCAGTAGTTGCGGCACACGGGCTTAGTTGCTCTGCAGCATGTGTGATCTTCCTGGACCAGGGCTCGAACCCGTGTCCTCTGCATTGGCAGGTGGATTCTTAACCACTGCGCCACCAGGGAAGCCCCTGTAAATACAATTTTGACTTTGCTCCTTTCATTTAATACCACCCAGTTTCCCATGCTGTTACGTAGTCTTTCTAGTTAACTTAAATAATATTTATATAAACTTTATTTTCCTCCACTGTAAAAGTCGTACTTATTAATTATTGAGAAAGTGAAAAATATGAAGCCTTCGGAAGGAAAAAAACTTACAGTCCCAACTCCTCAAAGAAACCATTATTAACATTTAGCGTTTTTTATGTTAGGTATTTTTTTCTGTGCATCTTTGTGTATAGTGTCATGATAATATTACACATTTAAATTTGCATCCTTCTTTAGAAGAAGCAGGCGTGAGCATTACATATAATGACACACTTGAGTCACTTTTACCAGTTCCGTCACGTGCTACGGCATAGCCTGTAGTTTTCTGTTTCAGTGGATCTTTCCCAGTTTTCCTGCAATGAACAGACCTAGTTTTCCTGGCCACGGAGAATTTGGCTGTGTGACATATTATAACTTACTGAGTCTTGTGCTTATTGCTGGGAGCCCGGTTTGACTGCAGTGTCTTTGCTGCCACTGTCCACGTAGCATGCTTCTTATGTTTTCTTAAAAGCTCTTCTCTGGCTTCCCGGCAGCCTGGGGATGACGTGGCTCAGTGACCTTGGGGTTTGGCTGAATAGAACAGGTGAGAGGCCCGCTAGACCTCAGCCCCACTGTGGGGAGGGGAGGCTAGGTCCAGGGAGGCCAAGGTGTCTGGCTTGCCAGCCCGTGGCTATTTTCTCTATATTGAAGGGCTTTGCTTGCCCCTTTGCGTGGGCAGCACCAAAGCCAGTGTGGCTTCCTTGTGGTGTGGAAGAGAAGCCTATGAAAACCCTGGGCTAGGCTAACAGAGCAGGATTTTTAAGTTTTTGAAAGTTAGATTCCAGCCTCTTAATTGGACGCCCTACCATGAAGGTTGCTGGGCTTTCAGAGTATTTTAGGTAATAATAGTAAGAGTAGCCACAATAACTGATACTTGCATAGTAATTATCTGCTCAAGGCCCTATCCTAAGCAGTTCTATGAGGAAGGTACTAGTATTATCCCTGTTTTACAGACGGGTAAACTGTGGTTTAGAGAGGGTAAGTGACTTGTCCAACGTCACACAGTAAAACATGGAAGATCCAGGTGATCTGGACCCAGAGTCCACCCCCTTAGCTGCTGTCTCATTAAACGTGGGTGTGACCTGAAAGGTGAGCCATCACTATGGAAGTAGTCAGAGGCAGAGAGGCAGCTCCTCGGGGTGGTGTCTGGGGTTTATAGACCCGTTTGGGCCAACTTAGTGTCTCTGCTTCAACATTGCCTTGTTCGCCATAAGCATTTATTGGGCACCTGTTGTGTGCCTGGGAGCATGGGCTGGCACAGATGTCTGCTGGATGTGCATTTTCAAGTAACCCCCAGGTTCTTCACTTCTCTCAGGCTCTGGGAGGCCATGCCAGTGGCCAGGAGAGGGGAGGTCTAGCGGCACCCGTAGAGTGTCCTGGACTGAGTGTTGATGGGGGAGAGCAAGGAGGGAGAAGTCCTTGTGAGCTCATGGCTGATGATGGGGGTGGGACAAACAGAAGCACCTGGAAACAATAATGCAGGTGATGCTGATATAGAAATCTCTTCTTACACATTTACAGGTTTACCAGGACACCCTGAGACCACTTCTCGCGAACTGAAATGTTCTAGAGTCTGGCCTCTCTTTTATCTCCCAGAGCAAATTATTTTAAAGACTCTGGACTTACGGATGGAGCTTTTGCAAGCTGCAGAGATGTACATGGGTACATTTTCTGCTCTATATTTCTGACGGGTCTCAGCAGGAGAGCAAGGGAAGTAGGAGTTAGCTCTCAACTAGAATGGTTTCCTGATGGGAAAAACAAAGCTTTGCTTGTACATCCCTGGGGATGCTGGGGCTCTGTGCTGAGGTATGGAAGGAGCTCAGAGAAGGTGGAACCTGCCTGGAAAGACTTCCTTAGGCAGGTTGCTAACCTCTGTCCCCTGCAAAGAGAAATCTGGCCTTGAGATGGTCAGCGGCTGGAAGTCCAGGACACACTTGCTGGGGCTGCTGTGGTAACGCACCTCGCCTCCCAGCCAGGCGCAGGAAGGCCCACAGCCGCATCCCTGAGGAATGCAGTTTGCTGTTTGCCCACCTCCCATGGAATTCTGCTGTGCCTGCTGTGGTTGCAGATGTTGGGAGCTGGGGATGCTGGGTGCCTCCAGGGGTCATGGAGAGGAAATCCAGGGGTAAAAGGAGATGGGTCCTGCCTTGTTGATTTTCTAGGTTAGCATCCCTTTCTTAGGTGAAGAGTCACTTTCCTCACCTTGCTCGTCCGTCTTTTGTGAGGGATGCAGGACTTCAAGCTTAATAGTTTGGGAAACCAGGAGACGTCAGCTGGAACGGGGAAGAAGGAGCAGCTTCTAAACTCGGTAGCTGTGGGATCCGGCTGGAGTTGACTTTAGAAATAACAATCAAAGAACGTCAGAGAGCCTCTTTATCCCCAAACATCTCCCAGCCCATTTGCTGGGGTTTCACCATTAGTGGTTCATCTCTAATAAACACTCCTTTAAGATCCCAGTGGAGAAGAGCTCGGGGCTGCAGCCTTCACCCATGGGTGTGGCTGGGTAGCAGGGGACCTGGGCTCCTGGGGCAGTGTGGCTGGAGTGCTCGCTGTAGGGGTGCTGGGAGGTTATAAATAAACTACTGAGAGATCATATGCGCTCCCCCCACCCCTAACCTGCACATTCCCTCCTCTGACCCTACCAGAGCCAGCCAGGGGCTTCTGCTCCCGACAAGGTGACCAGCCATCAGGGTTTACCAGGGATGTGGGGCTTTCGGTGCTAAACTGGGGAAGGTCCTGGGCAGACTGAGACGTGTTGGTCACCCTAGCTCCAGAACCCCAGGCTCTTGCTTACATGAGCATGGAGCCTCCCACCGCGTTAGAGTTCACGTTCAAGTGTCTGTCTCCTCCGCCAAGGAGTCTCTTGAGGGGGCCGAGGAGCAGAAAGACCAGGTCTTATTTAGTTCTCAGCTCCATGCTTATTATTTAGAGGGTATCAGTAAATTTTCAACGTGGAAATAACCGACCATCTGGTAGTGGGTACATTCTCTTGGTTAGAGCCCAAGTTCGGGCTTTGAGGAGAGCCGTGATTTCTGAACTCCGATCCTAGCCCTTTACTGACCTTTGGTATAATCGTGGCTCAGTGCCTCAGTTTCCCCTAAAACTGTATCTCTATATCCACATCTACATCTATTCATCCATCTATCTCTATATATCATTCACCTATCTGTTATCTATCATCTACAGCTCTCGTATATAATACTCCATCTATCATCTACCTATTATCTATATCTATCACCTACTTGTCTGTCTACCTACCTCTCGACTACTTAGCTATTTCTATCTCATCTATCAATCGTGCACCTGTCATCAATCATCTATATCTACGTATCGATCGGTCTATCGATCTACCTACCTCCTTTGCCCCAAAGCTCACAGCCGTTTTGAGGAAGCACAGACAATATCTATGGATCTATGGGAGTAAATGGGGCCTGTGATAGTGTAACTATCACTGTTCCCCAAACACCCCATGTACATTCACTTTTTAAAGTGGCCCCATCATAACCTGGAAAAATTAATTCAGCTTCCCAAAGCGGCTCTTCCCTATGTAGGTGCTGCGGGTACCTAGCCCGGAACAGTTGGTGCCTTCGCTCGGGCCACAGCATCATGGCCACTGACATTCTCCATCTCTCCCAGACACCCTTGGCCTCCTACGAGCGTTTGCTGGGCGGGTGCGTTTCCTGAGTGGCCGCGCAGTGCTTGATGTCACAGAACGTCTGTCCGGTGAGCATCTAGCCTCCCAGCCCATCTCTGTTCTTCTTCTCTCCTGGCATGTAGTTGAACCACCTACTTATCTTAGACCAAAAATCATCAACTAATCCCCACAGACCATTTTAAAAAAGTTGATAATCTGCTTTAAAAAATAATTCCCACATTGCCGGAGACAATCTTTGTTTTGGGTCAAAATGAGGCAGGTCTGTACACAGCCAAAATAGTTTTAAAGAAACTATTATGCATTTCTTCCTCTTTGCAGATGGGGCTTCCACTAGCCCCACAGGGTACCTTTGTGTGAATCAGAAAAATCCACCTCTCTGGGTCAACACCACCTCATGGGTGCCTGGCTGGGTCAGCAGCAGCTCTGTCGCTCTGACCTTGGGCAGGTTACTTAACAGGTTACTGAACTTGCCAAAAGCCTCCTCCCCCATACTAGGAGGGTCCCACCTAGGAAGGAGGCAGGAGGACCCAATCTGTTCTCTAGACTCCCAAGGGCCCCCCTAAGATCCACATGGATCATGCCACCCCCAGCTTACATCCTTGCGTGGCTCCCAAGCAGTCTCCAGGATGGCGTCCAGGGTCCCCGGAGTGCCCCACAGGTCACTGCCTGGCCTTCTAGCCTCTGCCCCTTTTATTCACCCCCAGTGATATGCACTGGGTCATTTACTCCTCATAACAACCGCAGAAGGAGGGTGTGGGTTCCATGGTTGTCCCTTTTGTAGAAATAAGAAACACGGAGCTAAGGAAGTTTAAGGTCCCTTGACTAGTAATCCAGGATTTGTCTCCGGGAGCTGGGCTGCAGAGCCAAGCCCTCAACCTCTGTATGGTGCTGCCGTTCCTTGGGTGGCCCCTGCCTTGGCCTCTGGGCGCCAGCACGTTGCAGGGGCAGACCTCCCATCCTCTCCCTGTTGCCTGCCCACGGGCAAAGCCCTTCTCACTCTCCTTCCTCCACCGGGGCGGTGCCCACTTGGTCTGGCATCGCCTCCTCTGTCTCCCTTCTCCCTGACCCTCCGGCCTGAGTTTCGCGTGCCAGCCTCAGTCGCTGGCCCAGCCAGGGCCTCCCAGCATTGAGCTCTCCGGGGCTGAACTCGGTGCATGTCGCCTGCCCAAGGGCGTCATTCCCACTCCTCCGCCGTCCCATCTCTTGCTCCTGGCCTTGCCTCTGCGCCCTGGTTCAGTCTTCCCCGTGTCCCTGGAGTGGCCCCTTACTTCCAGTCCAGGTGCCAGACCTGCTCCAAACAGATGGCGCGAGTGAGGCCATCTGATGGGGGCTACGATGCAGCTGCAGTGCCAGGCTGTGGGTGCCTTGGGGTGAGAATGGGGTCACGTAACTGAGACCACGTTGGGTATCAGACAAGGAACTCTTTTCTGCTACTCAAAATCAGCATTCTCTGATTACCTGTCCTTGTACAGGTAATTTATGGGCCCCAGAGGCGAGTGGGTATTCATTTACTGTACATATTACCCTACTATATCCAAGAGATCTCAAAAACAAGAGTTTCTACATAGTTCTATTAACTCTGTGTCAGCCAGGAACAGGGAAGAAAATTTCAATTGACGCAAGGCGTGGACTCATAATAGCACAGCTTAACGCAGGAGTAAATCTTTTGCTAATTACTTCAGCTGTCTTTTAAGCTCGATTTTAATGGGTTTTTCCTCGTGATGTCCCCCTACCAGCTCCTGAGCCACCTGCTCCCCGCAGGCAGGTGAATGTGGTCTAAGGGTGGACGTGAGCTTCCTGGGGCCGGGGTGTAGATGCCTCGCTGCAGGAGGAGAGGGTCCAGGGGTGAGGTGCCAGGAAGGAGGAGTGGGGGAGGTGTGGCAGGTTAGGGGCAGGTGAACCCCTCACCATTTGGTGGGGTCAGGGGAGCCCTGCCTGGGCCTGGCTCCTGCGATAGTTTTCACCTCCGGTTGCAGCAGAGATTCAGTGGAGGTTTAGGAAACCTTTGAGTTAGAGTTGTTCAGTACAGGTGGTTAATCGGATGACTAGTTTTCTTTCTGTTCCCTCTGGCTGCCCCCCTTCCACCTCCCCTTGCCCCTCCCACCCTCCCACCACCCTTGGGGCTGACCAGGTGGCTTTAGGGTTAACTGTGCCCTCCCTTCTTAGCCTTTTTCCAGCACAGGTAACATAACTCTCACCTCTTGGCCCCATTTTATGAAGTTGGCGCAGCTGGCATGGCTCACTGGGTGCAGTCCTGCCTTCCCAGGAATGAGGACCACCTTGACTTTGGAGGGCTCTGTGTCACCGGGAGCCCCCGGGGAGGCCCCCAGTGTGGGGTGCAGGAATCTTGAGGGTACGGCCAGAGAGTCAAGGTACACATTTCATGGGAGATGGCACAGTGAGAGAGTCAGGCTGAGCTGAGGGGGGCCCGGGCCATCCTCTCCGGTTCCCCACTGTCCCAGGCTGGGTCTGAAATCAGAGGGACCCTACAGGGCTCCCGCTGCAAAATATCCTGGTGGGTTGGATGAAGTTGATGAAGGAAGAACAAATTGGGGGTTTCTCTAAAAATAAAACAAAACTCCAGACCAGCCTCTAAAACGTGGAACTCCAAGAGGTTTGGGGCAGCAAGAGGTGGGAAGAGCGTGGGCTTTAGAGTCAAGGAAGGCTTGGCCTCTGTCCCCTGCTCTTGTTAGCTGTGGCATCCGGGGCCAGCTCCTCGACCCCTGAGTGTTGGTTTCCTCCGCCGTGAAACAGACGAGTGTCCTGCCTCTCGGGTGAGAGTGAAATGGCGCCACAGACGCATAGCCCTGAGCCCTGGACTCAGGCTCCGGCAGTGTTAGTTTCCCGGGTGTGTCTCAGCTCAGGGAACTTTCCAACTTCTCTGTCCCATGAATAAATCAAGTGCTTCTCTAAGCGTCGTTTGCCTTCACCAGGACTTATCCTTTGGCGGGATGATAGGCGGGATGCTGATTGTCAAGCAAGTATTCGCACGAACGCACGTAGGGTGACACGGCCAAGGCTGCGGGCCAGAGCAGCCCCTCTGAAGCGGCTTGGGGTACCCCTTGATGAGGCCTTGACGTTGGAGGCAGCCCTGCAATTACTGTGTGACGGAGAGCCTGCTGGCAGGTTTTAGCCTGTCTCTGGGTTTTCTGGGGTCTCGAGAAGGCAGGGGGCCTGGGGTAACCAGATTTGGGGCGTTCTTCACTGGAATGAAGGGTCTGTGCAGAGCCTGATGGTTTCCAAAGCACGTTCGTGCCTCCTGCGTCACTGCTGGGCTTATCGTGAGGTGTGGCATCGGAACTGGGGAGGCCGTGCTGGTTTTATCTCCCACTGGCTGTTCTATCTTCCAGAATGCTTCATTTGAGAGTCTCGACCTTTCTTCCTAGTACAAGTTTTCGCTGTGTGGACTCTCCTAGGTGGTAATGCAGATTAAAGCACTACTAGGACCAAGTTACTCTTTGTCACATGCCTACTTGCATAGGCACTTCGCCTACACGTATTATCTAATCTCTAACAGTCTTAGGAGTTTGGTTCAGAATTATTATCCTTACTTTACAGATCAGGCAACAGGCTCAGAAAGGTTGGGTGGCTTTCTCAAGCTCACACAGCTAGTAAATAACAGAGGCAGGATAGCAATCCAGATGCGTCTGCCTCTTTCCTTCGCCCTGGGCCTCAGGGACCAGTTATACTGTCATATGCCCTGAGCCCTTTCACCTTCGCATACCCCTTCCTCTGTAAAAAAAATGTTTAAAAGTGTACTTTATGACTGGTTGGTAGGAACACAAATAGAAATCAGGCTGGATAGCTTCAGACTTTTTTCTTCTGATTTTAAAAGAATTTAAAATATTTCCATGGGCCCCTAAGTGTATTATGAGCCCTAGGTAGTGCGTCTAATGGATTAGTGGGCCCTGCTGGGTTGCCTGCCTTTTGGGGGACAGAGTTGGTGTCCCCAGAGAAGGCAGTGGGAGAGAGAGAGAGTGCTTGACTCAAGTGACTCTCCCTCTTTTCTGCCTGACAGTGTTGGTGGCCTCAGTTTACCCCCGAAAGCCCCAGGCCGTGGAGTGCCACGTACTTCCGGTCCTCTGGTACTTCTTGAATAACATGTTCGGGAACGGCATCCTGCCCGGGCGCGGTGGGAGCGTCTGCACGGCCGTCTGCCGGCTGTGCAGGAGCCTCCAGGGGCAGATGGGCTCCTGGCTGCAGGACTTGGCCGCCAGCCAGCCAAAGCAAGTCCTCAAAACGCTCCAGGAGCTCTTAGACCCGGAATCCCTGTGAGACAGCCCCAAGGTCACTGACGGGGCGCGGGGGGAGGGCACCTGACAGCAAGACAACTGGCAGCTCACGCCCCTTTCATCTGGATTAAAGACAGATCTAGAATGAGCAATCGTTATTTTTATCTTATTTTATTTTTATGATGGAATAATCTCCTGGTCTACTTCCCCATAGAGTTCCAGATGTACATAGTGTATTTTGAGGTAGAAATAAAATAATTACTTATTTTTCTAAGGTTTTATTATCTTGTACTTTTTTACCCCCACAGAATTTTCTAGTAGCTAGGTTTACGACAAAGAAAACAAAACATGATATGGAAACAACCTATGTGCCCATTTTTGGATGAATGGATAAAGGGGATGCAGTGCATGCGCGCACGCACACACACACACACACACACACACACACACACACACAGGAATACTATAAGCCATAAAAAAGATGAAATCTTGTGACAACATGGATGAAACTTGAGGGTATTATGCTAAGTGAAATAAATCAAATGGAGAAAGACAAATACCATAAGATTTCACCCATATGTGGAATATAAAAGAACGAAAGCAAAAAACAAAGAAAAAGAACAAACCAAACAGATGCAAACAAATACAGAGAACAGCGTAGCAGCTACCATAGAGGAAGGGGCATGGTGGGGCGAGAGCAAATAGGGGAAAGGGAATTAACAGCATGGTGATGAATAGAAACTAAACCTTTGGTGGTAAGCTCACTGCAATGTATACAGAAGTCAAAATATAATATTGTACACATAAAAAAATTAAAAAAGAAAACAAAACACGACAACAGCAAAACCAGCTGCTGATGCTACTGAGATGAAGAATGAGGGAGAAAAGTATAGCACAGATCCCCATGTTGCAGACCATTTTGGGGCTCCTATCTGTGCGCAGCTGGAAAAGCCCTCCTGAACCCAGAGACCCTGAGTTGGCCATTCAAATCCAGCCCATTTGTCATAAGCCTGATTTGGGGTGAACATAAGCATCTCTGGGGGACATCCTGCTTCTGCGTTACAAAATCTTCAGTGCAGCATCCTATGTCCTATGTCCTATGGGAACATTCTAACAGGATCTAAAGGCAAGGAGAGTTTGACATTGGCGTTACTGACAGCCTTCTCTGGAAGGTGGCTTCCTGGCTAGTTCTGAAGAGGACTGGAGGATGATTCACATTTGAAATACCGTAAACAAAAGGACTGGGTGAAGCACAAAGCACCATGGTGTGCAGATGTCATGCGGGAGCTCTGAAACCACACAGGTTACTCCAGCTGGGCCGGATGGGATCGTGGACCTGGAGAGGTGTGTTGGACGCAGGCTGGACCAGAACACGAAGAAGGTGGAGCCACTGATGGAGCAACGAGAGGAATGGGAAATGGGGTCCTGGCAGTGAGAGGGGGATGGATGCCAAGGGCTGGGGCTCTAGACACAGGAGGAGTGTCTCTGCCTTGCCTGGGGGCAGTGGCCGGCTGACAACAGTGTGACCAGAAAGAACTAGAGCTCAGATCGTGACCTCAAACACATGGGTAAGGTGAAGGCTGAAGGGGCAGCATCCCAGTTCCAACCCAGGAGCCAGACCCACAGCAGCAGTCTGGGGCAGATCCAGATGGCCAGGCCCTGAGGCCCAGCTTCATGCCAGCAAGTTTTCTGCCAGGCCCACCAGTGGACCTCTCTCCACTGTCACCCACCCCGAGGTACAACATCGGTCCACTTCTCTGTTCTGAGCCCCTCCTGAGAGTGTGGGGCAGAGCAGGCTGGGAATCTTCTGATCAGCTCATGCAATGTTGCCAGGTGTAACTAGGCTGCCCCCGCTCGCCCCCCTTGCCACGAATGCCCTGGGGTGAGCCTGGGCGTGGTACAGTCATCCTGGGACTTGGGCTTTTAATAGGCAGCTTAAGTGTGCTGGGTAATTTCAGCCACAGCCTTAGCGGCTTCTCACCTCTTTGTGACCTTAGCAGGGACTTCCCCGGCACCACCATGCCCTTTGTTGATTCTGACTGACCGGGCAAACATCAAAGATGCCCAAGAGGCTGAAATTAAACTTTTACACAATTTAATTAATTGAGTTTGCTTGGAGTCTGAGCAGACTTCTTCAGTTTGAGACTGACATTTTCTGCTGGTCAAGATCCTAGAGCCTATCAGAATATTTCAGGATTTTTTAGAACTGTAGGAGCCCAAGGATTTTGAAGGCAGAAATTAAGCTCAAAGACGTTGCCCTGTCTGCCTGCATTCGGGTCCTGCCTTCTGTCTTCAAACCGGAAGCTTCCCAACTCCTGTGCTCTGTACCCATCCTCACAGGTGGGTGTTTAAAATAACTGAAAACAGCTGAAAAGCAAAGAATAAATCATTGCATGGTTCTTTTCCCTTCACTACTTCAGGTTTTAATCTAGTCTCTGGGCAGCTGGGCTCTGAGGGCAACACCCCTGGCACAATCTCAGTGGGGAGGCTGGGTGGAAATTTTGTCTCAAAAGTTTCCCACATCATTACTTTTAAAACAAAGGGAAGACAGCTTATTAGTAACCTGGGCCTGTTGGGAGTGCCTGCAGGACTGAGACCTAATGGGAAATGAAGATTGTCCTGAGAGCCACGGCGGGTTTGAGCAGAGCCCACCTCATTCTTTGCTTGGCTGGCTGTGCGTGTAGCCAGGAGCTCTACTTACCCAAGGTGCTCTTGGGGTGGGAATATAGCATCGAGCTATGGAAGAGCTTTTTTTTCTCTCTCTCTCTCTCTTTCTCTCTCTCCATTGTGAGAATCAAGAACCAAAGTCTTGTCTGAGAACATGTAACTGCTTAGGAATTCCTTGCTTGGGAATTGTTGAGATTTTAGGAAAATTGTTTTACAGGCCCCACTTCTTATCTTATTCTCTCTTCCCTGCTTCATTCCTTGCCTCCTGAGTGGAGAAATGTTTCTCCATTCTCATTGTACTTCGGAATCGTCCAATGAGATTTTTAAAAATGCTGACACCTGGGCCCATCCCCGGGGATTTTTGTTCCATGGGTATGGGGTAGGGCCCAGACGGCTGTCTTTTCTTCTTTTCTTTTCTTTCTTTCCTTTCCTTTCCTTTGTTTCCTTCAGGCTTTATTGAGGTATAATTGACATATAACGCTGTGTAAGTTTAAGGTGTGCAGTTGTTACCCAACCAGATTCATTTGCTTGGCGTGCAGGAAGCTAAACGCTGAGGTGCTGAGGTCTGCAGCAGAGAAAGGGTTTCTAAGGCAGCCAAGCGAGGAGCTGGAAGAACGTTTCAGATCTGCTTCCCCAGAAGGTGAGGGGCTGGGATATTTGTAGGATAAAGAAGCAGGGGGGTTCTGAGGCGTGGGGAGTGTGGGGAAAGGTGATTGGAGATAAGAAAAAAGGTGAGGTAAGAAAAAGGTTGCGTTCTGTGCAGGTGCAACTAGGCTACGTGCTTCTTCATGGGACACATGTTCAGAAAATGGTGGCCTTAGCATGTTCTGAGGGTGAAGTTTTTGGCCCTCTCACTTCAAAAGGTCATGACACTTAACGCAGGCACAGTTGGAGGGTCAGTTGTCCCAACCAGTCTTAACTGGCCTGAGCTGGGCAACAGCTGACTCCAAGCTCCTGGAAAACAACTTGGGCAAACGTGTTATTGTTTAGGTTATGTAATGCTAGGAGGACGTGCAAGTTTTTGTGAAAACAATTACAGCGAGCTTGATCAGCGTAGGCAGCTTATAGTTATTATTTATTAAGCAGGTTATAGTTTAATGGCTCTAACTGATGACTACCCTCGGCTTCACAATGTATTGTTTGATACGCTTACATATTGCAGAACGATGGCCGCCATAGCCTTAGCTCAAGTCTCCATCTGGTCACATAATTGCGATTTCTTTTCTGTGTTGAGAATCTCTCAGATTTACTCTCTTGGCCACATTCACATGTATAATACAAAACTGTTAGCTATAATCACCCTGCTGCACAGTAGATTCCCAGAATTTATCAGCCTTTTGACTGGAAGTTTGTACACTTTGATCCATGTCCCCCCATAGTCCCCACCCCTGGCCCCCACCTCCCCAACCCCTGGTAACCACCACTCCACTGTCTGTTTCTCCGAATTCAGCTTTTTTAGATTCCACGTATAAGTGAAATCATACAGTATTTGTCTCTCTCTGTCTGACTTATTTCACTTTGCAAAATGAACTCGTTTCATCCAAGTTGTTACAGATGACAGGGTTTCCTTCTTTCTTATGACTAAATAGTATTCTGGGGTGTGTGTGTGTGTGTGTGTGTGTATGTGTGTGTGTGTGTGTGTGTGTATCTCACATCTTCTTGATCCATTTCTTTTCTCTCTTCTCTTTTTTCTTTTCTCTGCAAGTGATTCTAATGGGTGGCCAAATTCTGAAACCACAGTAAATCAAAGGTGTAGAAAGTGGCAGTGGCTTTGGCCCTGTGGGTGCCTGGCCTGCCAGCTTTTCCCAACTGGCAGCCCTGGGGTGTCCTGGGCTGGGGACAGAGGCTGACTGAGGCCAGGCACTGGAGTCAGAGAGGCTGGACTCGAGTGCAGGCACTGTTGCTCCTGGTGTGTGGCCTTGGAGACACTTGTCAACCTCTCTGATCTTCCCTTATCAATCCAGTGTGTGTGTGTGTGTGTGTGTGTGTGTGTGTGTGTGTGTGTGTGTGGTATATGTGGTAAGTGGGTGGGAGGAGGATGACAATATTGCCCACCTTAACTGGGCTGTTGTGACGATTAATGAGATAATTCTTGTAAATACTTAACACGAGGCCATGAGCACAGGAAACGCCTGACGAATATTGGCCATTATGTTTCTGGAGACATTGCTTTAGGATCCAGGTCTAGGCTCAGCTAGGACCAGGGTCTTGCGGGCTCTGCAGCCCTTGGAGTTGGAGGAGTGGATGTTACCTTGGAGACCTGCGGAGCCTGAGACCCACTGTTAACTTGGCCGGGCTTGTTTCAGAGGACGGAGCATGGTCTGCCCTCTCTGCTGGGAAGCTAGGGCTGCTCTTGCCCCTGGAGCCTGTCACCTCTCCAGTTGCCTTCCCCCTTCTCCTTACTTGACACGTCCCTCACAGCTACCCTCAGCATCCCCACCCCCTACCCCAGGAGAAATCTGGAAGCTCTTCTCCCTGCAGGCTTGTTCCCTCCCCTCCAAGCCTCTTCTGACTCTCAGCTGGGGGCAGAATGGCTGGGAGGATCTCCGAGCACTTTCTTGCTGAAAGCATTTTCCTTATATTATAATTTGGTCCTGCCAATAGGAAAAGAAAGGAGAAATACTGATGGAAAGGGGGATCGTCTTCCGTCTCCTGGTAATGGAGGGAGGAAAAGGCGCCCCGA